TAAATACGAACTTTTATAGAAATAAAAAATACACATTGCCTTGGAAACCAACTTGTCTACATTCTCCCAAAGGTTATTTATATTATTTACAGTTCGGACGTGATAATTCGTCGAGTAACACGCATTCATTTAATACATGTATCTTTACACGTATCTTAAAGGTGTTTTGCAACAAGATATTCTAAAGGACAACTGCTTCAAGAATAAAGAAATAGGTCAGAGTCACAAATAAACACTTACACCATAGATTAAAACATAATTTCAAGTGAAGTATGTATCAATACACACATATATATATATATATATATATATATATATATATATATATATATATATATATATATATATATATATATATATTAGCATGATATTCGTAATGGGTAGAAGGTGCTGAGGCTGTCGGCGTATCCATAGGTTGAAGTATCAAGGCTTCGTTTTAGAAATATTGAAGAGGATACGATATTATTAGTATAAGATTGAAAAAAAGGCATGGAAACATTAGAATAAACAATGAAATCAATGTGGTTTATTGAATTATAAGTAATGAAATGACCTAATACCCAATAGAATTAATTAATAAAAATAATTATGTTAAAACACACATACATATATGTGCATTCAAATATAGTGTCAGGTTTGTTGTCACCCCTTTCACTTACATTTTGAACTTCATTTTTTTATTTTATTTTTAAATTGAAAAAAAAAACCGCACATACTTCAGAAGCTTTTTGACCGATTAAAACCACGTGAAAGTTAATAAGGGTTCTAGAACTAAGCTCCTTGCTTTAACTTCGAGGTGTGATCTTGTATTTTCTGTTCGAATGATGCCTGAATTGGTGAAACGTTAGCAGATTGACTATTCACCTGCATGTTAGGGACTCGTGGCTTTATATTTTTTCCATTTATAACTTATTTAATATATCCATTTTTTTTATAAAAGTTTCTTTTCCTTTTTTAATGTTTATAGTAAAATGTCCAATCGTTTCTAAACATATGGTAAAATGTTTGCCGGATAGTTTTGTTACCACCACATAATATCAAGATTTCATGTGGACTATTTTATAATACCAGGTTATTTTCGATAATTTTAATATTTAAAAGACTTCATACATGACTTTCTGTGTAACGAATGCGGACAGACTTGAGATGAAGATTTTGATCGAAAAGTTTCTCCATAACGAACAGCAGGGAACTTGTGAGCTCATGTTCTGAGAACATTAATATCCACTTAGTTCAATAATGCCTACTGGGAATTCGGTTTCAAAATATGATTTAGAGTCATAGCCTTGTTATCATTTCCACAGATTTGATTTTAACATGTCAACACGGTATTGGTTAAATTTCAAAGAAAGGTTATACTATAAATGAATTTATTGGAAAACTTATTAGTCGAAATTTAGCGACTCGACTAAAACTTGGCAGTTTGTTAGACATTTTAAAAAAATAGCGAATGCTGTGAACAGCGGGCAAAATGTGGAAACGTCAATACACAGAAATATTTTTTTACGAGTAGTTAGTATATGCCATAGTTCAAGTAATAGATGAATGATTTCGCCAAGCTCATGTCTTTAACCCTCCAGTATTCGCACTATCATTTCGAGAAATTCTCTCGCTAGACCTTTGAGCTGACAATACATTCTCGTGATCTATGAGGCTTCCAAAGCCTTAATGAATATTGAAGTTCAGTCACATTTTGTACATATCCTACAATTTGTAGGATGAAAAACAATTTTCACTTTGAAGAAGGAAAGTGAAAGAATTGTAACGATTTTATCCATCCATAATAATTTGGAAAATAAAATTAACAGTTATAATAATTCAAACAAAAATTACAGTAACAATGATGAACAAATGACAAAAAAATACATATCTGGTCAATAAACTAACATATATAAACAAATTTACGTTTCATACGTGCAATTATATTATAAAAAATATATATTTCTTCATAAAAATATTTTTAATTGTAAATTAGAAAATATTATATATTTGATCAAATTTTATTTACACGATTTATAAATTATAAAATACAATTTTAGTTTTCATTTTTTTTTTTAATCATGTTTTCTTACAAACTCTCTATACCGGACAATTTTTTATTTCCCGTAAGAGTCCGCTTCTGAGAGAATTTACTAAAGTAACTAAAATGATCTATTATTAGTAACTATTTTGTCTTAATTTTTATTTATAAAAACGCTTTTTTTTTCTTTTTCTTTTTTTGTATGTTGCTCCGGTCACGAAAAATGATTAATATTTTGTTACTATTTGAAACGCTATACTTAAATATACAATTAAACAAGAAAAACAACGCTGTTTAGATTTAAGGCACGGTAAATGTTTATGCGCCGTACTATATCTGAAAATAATTTCAGTTGGACTTTACTGCAGGACGGCAAGAGTCTCGCAGGTCAATCTTGCAGGGTCTGGTCTTGCAGAAGTGCAAGACCAAGACCAAGATCAATTTTGGGCAAGACTAATTGAGAGACTATACAAGCACAAGCGGATCCAGGATTTAATTTTGGAGGGGCTTTAGCCTGAAAGCTTTTATATATAACATTAATTACTTAGCAAGTAAATAAAGAAACTAATTTCCTATGTACCTGTATGAAATGGTGTATAAGTGATTCTTGGAGTCATATTAAATGTAATCACACGAATAATAATATTTTTAGAGATAATTTTTAATATTTTTTCTTATAATATAATAACAATAACATAATAATATTTTACCATTTGAGGGGAGAGCTTCAGCGCGAAAGCCCTCCTTCCCCCCAGATTCACCTTTGCCTAGAAGAGAAAGAATATAATAATAAATATTTATAGTACATTAGATGTTGTGAATGTCTAAACCTTGTTGTCAATTAGTTGTATTTGAATGAGAACACAGATACACCATGAATCTCCTAATTCCAATTTTGTTGGTATTCATTTTACCAATACCTATTAAATTAATTCATTTTGCTAACACTTATTAGATTACGAAAATAGATCCTTATGTTCAAGACTGCAATCCCATACTACAAGTATTAATGTTAGCACCAGGAATGCCTTGAAGAGGGTTTCATGATGCAAGTTGTGCCATCAAAATTTTTGAGGGGGGCACGTTTCGACGGGTTTACGAATTTTCGAAATGAATTTCAAAGCAGAGGACAAGCGAAAACATGGATCAGGGCTCTAATAGAGTAATGTATATGATCTACAACTTTTTAAATTCTACTATCGCTTGCACTGTTTTTCTTCAAGGAAGGTTCATGCCCCACCGATCGTGGGAGGGGGGATGGGCACCCCTGGTCACTAAAGGATCCAGGATTTAATTTTGGGGAGAGGTTTGATAATATATATTACTTTTATAATATATATTTTATAATTACTTTAGAAGAAAAAAAAGAAACTAACTACCTTTAAGAGTTTCATTGATTCTTGAGGTCCAATTAAATGTAACAGACAAAAAATAATACTTTTTTGAAATATTTTTTTCTTAAAACATGGTTATATTTTACCATTTTGGGGGTCTTCAGCCCGAAAGCTCCCCTCCGAAGATCCGCCTGTGCCTCTGCGACAATGATTTGTTAAAACTACGCAATTTATTTGATAGTGAAATAAGCTTAATTTTTGACACACATCAGAGGGTAAGAAAAAAAATCCAAAATAACCTTAATTATTATAGATATAATTCCTTTTATTTATTTTCCTGGGTAAACATCTTATCCCTAAATATATTATTTCATTAATTGTAAGACTCGAAGTCAGTTTTGTACCAAATATAAGTTCCTGTCATGTTCAAGTGGTATAAATGGGTATCACTGGATTCAGAACTTCATGGGGGGTTAGCAAATCGTATTCTCCGTTTCGATTTCAAAAATAGATAAAGAAGACAAATATTTCACTATGCTTCAATAATGGAACAGCAGTAAATATGTAGATCGAGACGGAACAAATTGGGTTTTGAAGATTTTGATACGGACATCAAGACTCCGTGAAGTCCCCGCGGGACTTTTAAAGCCCAAAAAATGCACCGTTTTCGAGATAATGCAAGGCCAAGGGTTTTAAACCACACAGGCTCGTGTTAGTTGTAATATTACGATAGGATAAATTTCGCATGTCGTCGATTAGGCTCCTATGTATTGGAGAGGAAGAGTGTATCTTTTTATATGATTTCTCAAGCGATTTTTTTAGTCTTCGTAAATTGTTCATCAAATCTAATGATTGAGCCATCATTTTGAAGATTATCTTCTCCTTCAGGTGCAGAAAATAGTCTCCCACCCTCTCCCCTCCCGAACTTTCAGGAAAACGTGTTATTAAGGAATAGATATCTTATTTCAGAATAACTCAAAAAATATATATTTTTATGGTTACTTGAAAGGTTACTAAATTCGCTACAAAACAGTAAAAAGATCATCGGAATCGGACCATTATTTTCAAAGACACGGCTTATTATAATTTATAAACACGATCGTAATGCAACGCCCATTGTAATATTGGATTAAAACATAAATAGTGTTCGTTTCATTTTCTTTTCCTTGAACAATTACAATTACCGGTTAAAAGAGAATTGATTCATCCATCTATACGTTATATTATCTTATTTCCTCATTATTTTTTCATTTGTTCACCAATATACTTCGAGAATTATTCGCACGGCCAGAGGTGCCCTCCCAAGATCGATGCCGCAAAAATCTGTACCCCCCCCCCCGTACCAAGATATTTTATTGTTCACCTTTTCTTAAAAACAAAGCGAGCGAAGGTTGAATTAGAAACATCGTAGATCATATATAATTACATTTGCTGTGTTCTGTTCCATAATTTCTCTTTGTTCCTTAGTCTGGAACTTTTCAATCCGAAAATTCATAATCCCTCGAAATGTGTCCCCCTCAAAAATTCAATAACCCGTTAATGGCGCACCTTGCTTCTTCAAACCTCCTGGGCCAACTAGTATATTCACATTTATATAAGATGGATCATCATTATATTTGGATTACATGATTACTTATTTGTTATAGGTGTGCTGCCGAGGTTAATAAAGCATTTGTGTGAAAAATGTACTGACAGACAAAGGACAGCGCTCAAGCAGATTTTCACCTTCGTCCAAAGTAAGTTCCCAAAGGAGTGGGAACAGGTGAAGACTCTATATGCAAGTCCTGAAGATCAAATAAGGATGGAAAAATTTGCGACTACCTGATGGGTATCCCATCAAAATTGATGAATAATAATTCCTTGCGATCAATTATGTTATTTATGTTTATTTATTCATACAATCGCCATATGCATTAAACTTAGTGAATCTATACTTTGAAGCTTCTAAGTAATTACGTTCACCTACCTATATATGAAATATTTTTATACTGTTTCCAACTTTTGGTGATTAATAATTAGGTTATTTTTTAAAATCTAAAAGATAAATGTAATACTGGTTAAAATGAACCAAAATGGTAAAGATAAACTATATCAGTTCAGGTCCTATGCAAAATAAATTAAACATTAATTTGTCTAAAAATAAAATTAATTTGTAAATCAGAAAGTTTAATTTATTTAGCAAAGGCTATTAAATAGATCAAAAAGTGAAACATTGGTTGCTTAATAATTCTTATTGGTGCCAAAAGTGAATTTTAAAATTTTGAAGATTGGTTGAAAAAAATAAAACAACATTAATCACAATTTAGCTACATATACATATATGTATTCAATAAAGTTTCCATGTAATTTTTAATGTAAAGTATTTTAATCTCGCTTAAAGTAAGATTCTGTAATGCTACGATAAATTATGCATGTAAATATCAATTTATATTACTCTGTAATTTATTGAATTTTTGTATAAACTTTATGCTTGATTCCTATCAATCAACGGCCTTTCTCATAAAAATGTAATTTTCACATGATACGAAAAGAACATTTAGATCATAAAACTCAGAATAAATCTCCTACTCCATATAGAAATGTTAATTTTAATGTTTTTTATTTCCTATATAAAATTTGTATTTTACATTAATTGCAATAAACCTGTTATGGAATGGCCAAATTTTTAATCCTATTTTTCCTTTAGCTTTAAAGATGTACTAATAATGTAACAAACAATTTTATCATCTAAAAATTAGTAGTAATAATGGTAGTCTTGTATAGGGCGCACTGAGGACGAAATCAACGCTTCAACTGGACAAAATTGTATAATCTCAATAAACTTGCTCGATTGGAGTGAAACTATTATTTAATACATTTGCATTTATTTAAAAATATAACTGAATCAGTATTGGAATGTGATAGACATATATCCATTTCGTATAATCTTATTTTACTTTCACTTGCCCATTTACATGATCATTACATGCAAGGGTTCACATGGGCTTTAGTTTTGAATAGGACGAAAATATTTAACATTGGAGTATTTTTTTATTTTTGACTGTCCACAGATTTGACTGTTCATAAATAAGCTATGAATTGTGTAATATGAAGGATTGGTTTTGAAGAAATATTTTTTTTACAACAATTATATAAAATTATGGTTAGATGGAATATATAATAATACTATATAATTTCTCGACTAGAAAATAGGCAAAATTGCACGAAACGTCGTCAAGAGGTTGGAATGAATTAAAGCATTAAGTGGATGTATAAGGGCTAAAATAAATTGATTTTCTACGATATTATAAATTTTATTTATTAATAGGTACCCTTAGAAAATTGATAAAGTGATATTTGAATTTTATTTCATTAAATATTTCTTTTATACAGATGCTTTATTCTTCTTCTTTAGAGCTACAACCTACGTGGGGTCAAGGTATCCAGTAACAGCAAGATGCTTTATTGATAGGCTAAAATAAGTTATTTTAACACGTTTGGTATTTCTTTTAATTTCTAACAAGTGGCGAGCGCCCCCGAAGATCGGCGTCCCGTGGCGATTGCTTCGCTTTAAGGCCAGCACTGATTATAGTGCTCTTGTGTCATGTTATGGAACTTCTTAGGAGCAGTTTTAAGAAGAACGATCTATCCCAACAGCTTTATTATCATTTGCATACTCTATGATCGTATGTAACTCCTATAAAAAAAAAATCTCACCAAGATAGCAGTCAGTAACACAAAATTGAGCATTGTATGGCCTGGCTGGGCATAGAGTTGGGTTTTAGATCTGACCAAACTAAGGCACCTATTTACTCATCATAATCTCTCCACCTGCTGTCCTTAGAAAATCCCTAGTCGACATCTTTCTGAATCGAGATAGTATTCTTATAGTCTCCTCCTCGAAGGCCTCGATACTGCGTATTCCTAAGACCGGAAAGGGGAGTAGGAAGGTACCAGGTAGAAACGAGAAACAGGACGAAGACGGGGGGTAACCGCAGGGATCTAACCTTCTGACGTCACCACAACCTACAGGAAACAAGCTACAGAGCTGTAAAATCAGAGAAGCAAACTGTAGGGACAAAGTACCGGGCATTGTGGAAGCTAGCTGAAAGGAACAAATACCAGACTTTGCGAAATCAAGCTGACGGGAGCAAACCGCCAGACCTTACAGAAGTAAGTTGAGGGTAAGGGAATAAGTAGCGAGATCTCGGGGAAATAAGTTGAATAGAATAAGCGATCAAACCTCACAGAACATCGAATTAATTCTTATAAGGAAGTACCAGGAATAGTATTTTCAAATAATATGTATAAGCAAGTAGAGAAATTCTGAATGCCAAATGCTTGAGAATCGACTGACTTGTTCAGCATTTATGAATTCGTCTGAGAAATTCGTTACAAAGCAAAATTTATTTTAGTCTCGTCCAGAAAATCTTTTTTACTTTTATATTTATTTATAATATTTATGTGTATAAAGTTATAATATAACTTCAAAATAAAATAATACAACACCATATACGAGAGCAGTCCGACGAGCTTCGCTTGTTTCTCACCAGGATCTGCTGCTACACCGTTGACTTCACAGTGACTTAATAATACAAGGTGACCACATAAAATATTTCATTTTTTTATGAAAATGTTTAGCTCTTACCGTAATTTAGGTATTGTATATTGCATCTGAAGTAGAAAACAAAAATGTTCATTATACTTTTGAGTCTATTAAAGGTGATAGGAGATTATTTGTTTCCGAGTGGTAAGACATAGTTTTTGAATTATTTGAAAATTTCTATTTGCCTGTCAATATTAATATACCTGTTATCAATTAAATTGATAAATAATCATAATATGATAAATTGAAATAATGTTCATCACTCCTGAATTGCATTAGTCCAGAATATAACTTCCTCGTAAGCCTTCCCTTATTTTATTTATTTTTAATTACTTTTTAGGTTAATCAGAAATTGTTGGCAGTGCCGGTCTTAGGGCGGAGCAATCGCCCTGGGGCGCCAACCTAGAGAAGCGCCCGTTGGGGGCGCCGGCCGATCTTCAGGGGCGCTTGCCAATTGTTAGAAATTAATAAAAAAATATAAAATGTATTAAAATAATTAACTTTAGCCTATCAATAAAGCAGCCGTATTAGAGATATCCTGAATGAAATAAAATCCGAATATTACATAATTTTAAATCGCTTAAGAAATAAATTTCATTTTTTAGCGGGAGATGACGTCTTTGCCCGGGGGCGCCGAATGTCCCAGGCCAGTAATGATTTTTGGCTATAATATGATTTTAATTTTATCACGCAGGATATACCAAGTAAAAAAAAACTAAGATAAAATACAATCAATTATCGATTGATTGAATAACAAACCAATTTAACTTGAAAAAGAAAACATTTGTAATCAACAAAGGGATATATAAAAAAAGACATAACAAACAATATTTATTTATTTACAAAGGAAATTAAATTTATAAATGCTGCATATATACATTTACCGATTTACTGTTAGTAACAGCCCTATGAAGGAAATTCTTTTTACTAATTGAATTTTCCATAAGTCTGAATACAATAAACCTCTCAAAAATACCATATTTGATATTGTGACAATTAATTATGTGTTCTGCATCAACATGACCCATTTTTTCTATGAAAAATTCTTTTAAATCACCTCTTACTGAGTTGATTTGGCTCATATAGGTTTTGAAAAAGACTTAAGACATTAATTTTCCTTTGTAATTCAGTGGTCATGAAAGTAAAAGATGGAAATCAAGTTTGAAACTTGGTGATATATAGATAATTTCTATAATTTGAATAATAATAATATGATAATTATATTTTTTATTAGATAAAAAAAATTTATTTTGAAGTCAGTGGTTTCAACTATAAAATTGAAATTTGTTTTTTCTTTATAGTTATTGTAACCTTAAATATTCAAAATATGACAATAGTTAGATAATCCTTAAATGATAGTTGAATTGAGTATAGTTGATGATCATTAAAAGATAGTTGAACCATCTTAAATTAACATTAATAATTTTAGAATTTCAATTATTAGAAAAACTAAGGACAATAATATTTCATTTCAGAACTTTTGCAGCACAACAATCTATTTCTTAAAAATCAATTATGATGAGTACTATATCACTTATTCTGTCATAAAAGAAAATTATTTTTGGTTACTCGAGATATCAATAATGCTAAGGATTATCAACTTGGTTTGATGCAAGTAAAAAATGGATACACTAAATTCACGTGTGTTAACTAGTAGCCTCAAATTATAGACACTATCTTCATATAACCAAGTTTCAAACTTCATTGCCATCTTTTTCTTTCATTACCACTGAATTAAAAAGGAAAATTAATAAAATAAAGTAAAGAATTAAAGTATACAGAGATAATATCATAATATTTTCTTCATAAGACATGGTTATATTTTACCATTTTTGAGGGAAAGAGGGGGGGGCTTCAGCCCGAAAGCCTGTGCCTGTGCTGTGGAGTCACACATAATGCCATTGTGATTTCAGGTCATACTCCTAAACGCAGTTATTTCAAGTTTTTAGATAAATATAAACCCTTTTTTATTATTTGGAATTTCAAACTTATATAAGTTCCTAATCTCTTGAATTCTATTTTAAGCTCAAATTTACTTGATTTTTTTTCAAACATAAGTAGCCCATTTAATCCAAACAATGTTAAATAGGTTGTTTTGGCACAAATTGATGTTGCATGAAATTTCACGTTTAATGATCAAACAACAAAAATAATAAAACTTTAATGGGTCAACAAGTTTACATGATGAAGAAAACAAATCCTAACTTATCCAAACTCATGAATCATCCTTTTTACATAATTTGGTGATATTTCCTCTGCTTTTCCTTTCCATTCAGTCTCCAAAATAAATCTTTACTTTTAAACTAGTTTAAACCGAATGTTTGAAGTAAGAAAACATATTTCAAAATAGCCAAAATTCCTTGTTTAAAAAAAAACTTACAATAAGTAAGTGGATAGAGAACCATGTACAATTAATTTAATAATGGAGTGAATATTGCATGGCCTGAGAAAAAAAACATTACATCCAATAGGCAATCTCAATTGGATGTTTGAGCTATGCCATGACTTGCCAGTACCTACCTCATACCATTGATATCTTATACTCTTTAGCTTTTAGTGTTTCCAGCATGAAAACTTCCATCTTTCTGTTTTTTCTCTCGCCCCATCGCCTCTGAACAAAAATATTTAGTTCGAAATGAAATAATATTAAAAGGTAAGATTTTATGAAAGCAGGTCAAGAGATGTTCGATGGCATCGTGACAAAGAACCATGTACAATTAATCAAATAGTGGAGTGCATATTGCATAGCCTGTGAAAAAAAACATTATAACCAATAGATAATCTCAATTTGAAGTTTAGGGTCCAATAAGTAAGAATATGCAAGCAATATAAAACCCAAGGATAAGTTATAATATTATTCCTTTGATAACTAGAAAGGAATATCAAAATATTAAGGTGGCCAAAAATGTAATTGCAATTACATTAATATATTAAAAAAACAAAATGTATTTACTAACTTTAAAATGAATACACATAAAAAAATTAATTTTCAGAAATTTCAATGTACATTGCTTTTTTTTATGAAAATTTAAAAAAGAATTACATATATACACATACGTGTAATACTCTATACTCTATATGTATAGAGTATCCACTTTATAGAGGCTGGACGTACCATATGGGGGTTTCCCAGGGTCTATCCATAGCTAGTATAACAGTATAAATAATTGCCTCCTATAGCTGAATAAAAACCCGAGATTGAGAGAATAGGAACACACACAAACATTACGATCTCTCTCTCTCTCTCTCTCTCTATATATATATATATATATATATATATATATATATATATATAGATATTTTCCAACTTTAAGGATTTCATTGTTTTCTACCTCTTTCAAAATATTTAAATTTTTAATTACTGAATCATGATTTTTGTTAATTTCTGATAATTTATTTGTCATAATTTCATATAATTGTGCTATATCTTTATTTTTCATCTCTCTGTGATGTCTTATACCAAGTCAGTCAAACAAACTTTTCTTTTACAGTTAATGATTTTTACTTAGGAAGCCTGTGCACACAATAAGAAAGTCAAATTTAAAATGAATATTTCACTATATGTTAGGAAACGCATTTAAAGAATCTCCACTCCTGTGGGTATCACAATTGCTTCTTTTTAAACAGGGTCTTTCATAAATTTACACTGCTTTTTGAAATAGTGAAGCATGTTCTTTCTTTCTTATTTAATTATTATCTATTCTTAAGCACCTAAACTAGAAAAAAATTTCTAAAAAAATCAAGGTTCCTAAAAAAGTTCGATATATGGAAGTTCAATTGTTCGTGTATATAAAAACACACACGTATATAAATATATATACATACACAAATTATTTTTTATTTGCACAAATAAAATTATAAATATAAAATGAGTAAATACATATTAAACATTTATGTCTTTATTAAAAAAAGACATGACCTAGAATAAACACACATATCCGTATGTTTTGTTTCTTTTTACATTAATTTATTCTTGTTACATTGGTATAGAAACTTTTTATGGTAACGATAAGATTATCAGTTTTTTCATAATTATAAAGTGGTATACAATTTTCTTTATAGTAGTAATTCCAGTCTCTATAACATTATCCATAATACTGCTACATTTGAAAAATCCTTTAGTAAATGTGATGAGGACATGACGGCCAATCATATTTGGGCAATTCAGGCGCAGAACTTAGTAGGTTAAACAATTAAAACATTAATTTTACAAAAAAAAAAAAAGACGTCTTCCTGTATATTCCATTTATTTTTCTCTTTTGTGCAACCGGTTTCGGTCTTTTATCAGACTTTCATCAGGCTAGGTAAAATAATAAAATTAACAACAACAATAAAACTAATTTGAAATGTAACAATTTCAAATCACATCTTAATAAATTTTTATTTTTTTTTATTATTGAAATTTACAACTGTATAAATGATAAATACAACAAGTAACATGGCATGTACATTATGAAGAGAAACTACCCATTGGTAGCACTCCAATTATATTTCTATATTAGAAGGTCCCGAGGCCATCTTCTTTTCAGACACCTCGGAGTGTTATCAGGGATAGAAGAGGAAGCAAGGTTGGAAACAAGAGGGTTCGGATGGTTCAGAAGTTTATTATAGAAGGATAGGTATCTGGATTGAGCTAAGTCGGAAACATAAGGGACATTAAGGTCGTTATGGATGATTTTATTTGTGAAAAAGTAGGGAGCACTGAGGATTTTATGAAGGATTTTGGATTGTAGGGATTGGATACGAGGAGGAATTTGATGGTTTGGTAGAGCCTCAAAGCTCGATCCCATTAGTCCAAATAGGCCTTATTATTGTTATATATATATATATATATATATATATATATATATATATATATATAGAGAGAGAGAGAGAGAGAGAGAGTCTTTTTTAAATAGTGGGAAGTTTAGCGCATTTGCCTGCAGTGCTGCAGTAGTCGAAAACATGAGGCGGTTTCTAGTTGTTTCAGTCTGGTATGGGGGTTGTCTTAATAAATTAATCAATAAAAATGGTAATCACCCAACTGATAGTGGTCCTCCTATATAAAATAAATAAAAGACCGAAACCAGTTGCGCAAAAGAGAAAAATAAATGGAATATACAGAAAGACAACTTCTTTTTTTGTAAAATTAAATTTCAATCCTGTAATATCAAGCCACAATTTAAGAATTAAAACATTCTACTAAATTTCGTAATACCACTTTGTTCCAACAAAATTGACCATTATTTTATTAGTTAGGGCTTTTTCATTATTTAGTTATTCATACTTTGTACTTATTCCATTTATTTTCCAATAAAGTGGGAGGTTTTCAAATGTAATTTTTAATTTATTGGATTTTTTTCATAATCAGCATCTTATGAAATTTTATAAGACTTAGGTGAGGAGGTAAAGTACCCCACATGTGATTTTTTACAAGACAACTTCTCCTCAGCAATGCTTGCTGCTTCCAGGTTTCCTTCTATGTTTCTTAAAGTTAAGAAACTTAAGTTTGCTTAAATGGCTTGGTCCACATATGCTGCAGTTCATGAGCAAAGTTTCATTCGAAAGCCAAGTTATGGAGCTAGAGCAGCAAGTCAACCTGAGAGCATGGACACATCTTGAGGTGAGATAATAAGAAAAAAGAGAACATTTCTTCCTTTATAATGGTTCTAATTTTTGCCTATTATGGGTATTACGGTGTTTTTTCATATCACCGGCTTGAGCAAATCCTCTTCCACAAACCTCACATTTATAAGGCTTTTCTCCTGTATGAGTCCTAATGTGACAAACTAAATCAGAATTTTTACGAGCCCTAAAACTACAGTGAGGACAAGGGTAAGGTCTTGTATCATTATGCATATTATTATGAACAATAAGAGCAGTTTTTGTCTTGAAGCGTTTATTCTCACAAATATTGCAAGCATATGGTCTAAAGTTACTATGAGACTGTTTATGTTGCTGCAAACGAAGTTTCAATTTAAAAGATTTTCCACATTCATCACATGTGAAAGGTTTATCATCAGAGTGAATTACCATATGAGTTTTAAGTGAAGAAGGTCGAGTGAAACTCTTTCCACAAACATCACAAATATAACTGGTGAGATGTTTTTTTTTATGAATATATAAAGAATGTCCAGACTTCAATACTTCACCACAAACATCACAAGTACATATATCATCAGTGTGTGCTTTAACCAAATGAGTTTTAAGGAGAGAAGGTAAAGAAAATGACTTATGACAAACATCACAGACACAGTTTACAATATGCCTTTTTTTATGAACTAACATTGCATATTTTGTTGGCTTTATTTCACCGCAATCATCACATTCCAGTGGCTCTTCACCTTTTTCTTCCAGTTCTTTAATAATCTCAGGATGCGTTATATGAACAGTTCTTCTATGATGGTTAACATGATCTTTTCTCTTGAATGAAGCCCCGCATATGTGGCAAAGATGAGGCCTGCTGTCAGAGTGACTCAACAAATGAGACTTTAAATATTCAACAAAGTGAAATACTTTTCCACAAACGGTACACTTACTTAATTTCTCTCTTTTCTTTCTTTTCTTTTTTTTGTCTTTATAATCTTTCTTCTCATTGTTTGGTGTGGTTGAATTGCTGGAAACAAACAATCAATATTTTGAATTTTATTGCAAATGAAGGTATGAAAACATCTACCTAAAAATATAAAATGAATTAAAAATAATGAAGGGAAATCATTACTATTAAACACCAAAATGGCAGAAACAAGGAAGTTTAATTTCTGTAAGCTTCATGTCTTAGAAGGAAAAATGTTCCTAGACCAATAAAAAAACAAAATAAATTTTCAACTAAAAGAAAATAGAATTATTATGGTATACTAACAAAGGAGATACCAAAGTTTCAGTATGAAGTGGTTTTAATATTCTATCAATCAAAAAATTACTTATACAAGCTGAATAGAAAAAAGAATAATACCATTAGATCTTTCATTAATCATTGTTATATAATGAAGTGAATATTCAGTCAATAAATTAGAAGTAAGAATAATGAATTGTGCAGAATATGATTAAACTGTTTTAACTTAGACAAATTATGAATTAATTAACCATGGATACATAATATTAAAAAAAGACTATTTTATCTGTTTAAAATAGGACCAAAAATTTCAACCTAGTGAAGTATCCCGGGGTGTTAACATGTATATTAAATGAATCAATTTCCTGAAATATTTGTTTTAAAATTGAACAATTTTTAACCCTAATACTTTTAAACTTTTTGAAAAATAAGAAAATGAAAAACAAACCTATTTTTCATGTCTTCTTTTTCAGGAACTATACTCGTTAATTGCTCACTTTCCACTAATAGCTAAAAATATTAAGAACATAAAATTAATTTGTATGACAAAACTATACAATTAAAATTCAAGAAAAGATATATATATATTTTTTTCAAAAATCATACATTTTCAAGATTAAGAGTAATAATAATAGCTTTATTTATAATTAATTTACATATATACAATCTATATCTAACAAAACCTAAAGACATACCTCATGGTAATAACTGTTTAACGGGAGTCTACAAAATCACAAATTTTAAAAACAAATTATAGAAAAATATAAATAAATTACATCTTCTAGTAAATAATAAGTAATGGATTGTTCAGAAAATAATGGAGGATTTTGGTTTACAAAAAAAGATTTACAACTGTTTAATTTAATCAAAATACTCTCCACTACTATCAATACATTTCTGCCAACGTATTCGCAACTTTTCCATTCCCTGGAAATAGAAGTTTCCATCTTTAGAATTGATAAACTCCAAAAATGCATTTTCTAATTCCCTTTGTACATTAATTTTTTTGTCAAGTAAGTAGTGGTCAAGGTATTTAAAAAAATGATAATCCGTAGACAAGAGGTCCGGAAAGTAGGGTGGATGTGGCAGAGTTTCATATCCAAGCTCCAACAGTTTTTGTGATGTCACACGTGTCATGTGGCCGGGCGTTGTCAAGCAAAAAAGTCGGCCTCTTCCGATTGACCAAAGATGGCTTCATTATTGCCAATTTCTGATGTATTGCATTAATTTGGTTACAATACAATTCGGCTTTGATGGTTCCTCCAGGATTTAAGAAGCTGTAGTGTACTAAACCAAATAAAGCTCATCAAACAGTAAACATCATCTTTTTTTGATGAGTTAAGGACTTTGGAAAATGTTCAGCTGCTTCTCCTTTGTCAATCCACTGTCCAGAACATCTACTGTAATAGTAAAGTATCAACTTTTCATCACAAGTAACAATTCTGGACAGAAAACGGTCAATTTTGTTTAGCCAAAGAAGAATATATAGATAAAAAAATGTATATACACACACACATATATATATATATATATATATATCAGAGAGATATATCTTCAAGAGATATCAGATTTGTAGTTTAAACTTCCCTTTTATATTGAAATATATATGAATGAATTTATTATTCCTATAATGATTGACAGACTTGAGAAGTTTTAATATTTTAGAAGAGAGTTATATGTATATATGTTGAAAGTGTTAGAAAAAATCCAAAACAGGAACGATGGTGAATTCATCATTCCACTATCACGATATACTAATTTATTCCAATAGTTCCATTTTAGAAATATCATTTAAGTATGCAAACTTAATCCTATAGTATATATTCTAATTTTATTAACAAGAAATACGTTACAAAATAAAAATTGCATCAAATCAATAAACAAATAATGACAAATTTAATAATATTGTGTAAACATTCAAAAGCGATATATATATATATATATATATATATATATGTGTGTATTTTTTTTATTATAAAAAATGCTTATGTTTCATACTAAACCAAACTAAACTTTTTAAATATAATGTTAAACTATTTGAAAAATTACTCACCCTTTTTTTAACAGGTTGCTTAAGCTTGTAGGAATTTACTTCATCAGCACTCACCATTTTCTCTAAGTTGCTGGTAGAACAATTATTGTCCACTACAAGTTCATTATATTGATCTGTAAAATACTAAGAAAATGGATTGAAGATTAAAAAAAAACAAGAAATAAAATACAAATTGGTAACTGAGAGTAATATATTTGATAACAAAATTAACAATTAATATCCACTACAAGTTTATTATAGCGATCATTCTGTAAAATATTACAAAAATTGATTGAAATTGAGATAGCGAGTGGCACAATGGGTTTTATTTCATTTAAAGTCAATATAGCGCCAGGTAACAAATGTTCTAAAGGACAGTAAGGAACAGCCAGGAGTAAAATTTCCTATACCCCTATTTTTAATAGACTTGGAACTGACTCCAATGATCGATAAAATTATGAAATAACCAGATTGTACTACAGAAGTGTAAAAGTGGAGAAGCCGTATCTATCCTAGGATGAATATCGTCCAGTGCCACAATTGCCAGGCATATGGCCACATGAAGACTTGTTGCCCTCATTTGCTGCGTTGCGTAAAATGTGGTGGACAACACAAGACTGCTGAGTGCACAAAATCTAAACAAGAACCTGCAGTTTGTGCTTTGTGCCATGAAGGACATTCGGCAAACTACAAAGGCTGCTAGACATACAAAAATATCAAATCCACATACCAGAAGTCCTGGTACAAAAAAGAAACTGAAAGACCCAGATCAAGAAGAGAAACTTCCAAAATCATAGACCCGACGGAGTCTTTTGCACACCTATTAGGAGGTAAGAATGAAATTACTTATTGAAAGACCCTGCCACAACAACATTATACACCTCACAATTCTTAACCCCACCCTCAGCATCCTATTACTAAAACTTCACCTAGTTCTCAACAATTCTACCAACACCAAATTTCTCCTCCATCAAATATCACCGAATTCAGATCACTTGTTACTCCTTTGATATCCCTTCTCACCAATCATGTATCACATTTTATCCCTCCACCAAAAAATCCTTAAATGACTTCCAATAAAATCCACATATCTATTCTCCATGGACCTTTACAGACGAACTATCTGGATTATAACCTGACAAGAACATTGATGTGGCACTAATTACTGAAACTCAACTAACCACTAAACAGAATACCACAATATCTGAAATATCGTACTGACCATCCTGATGGAAGAGCACATGGCTGGTACTGTTGTCATTTCACACCAATCCCTCTCCCATCACTTACTTCCATCACCTACACAAGATTTCCTACAATCCACTGCTATAGTAATAAAAACCTTCTCCTTTCCAGTTACACTTGCATCATCGTATTGCCCTCCTAACTGATCCATATCCAATACCCAATTCAGTTCTCTCCTCGACTCCTTAGGACATCCCTTCATCTTGCATGCAGAATTAAATGCCAAGCACCAACAATGGGGTTCCAGAACCACAAATTCTCATGGCCAAACCCTGCTGTTTGCACTCAATTCCCATTTTAACCTCCCTTCTCCCAACTCTCCTACCTACTGGCCCACAGAGCCTAACCGTAGTCTTGATATACTTGATTTCTTTATCCACAGTGGCTTAGGTCCCCTCAATTGTTCCATTACACACATAAATGAAATTTCCTCTGACCATAGTCCTCTAATTCTTAATGTTTCACTTGAAACCGTTTGAAACTTCCCCACTGTCATTTATCAGGGGCCTAGTTAACTGGGATCTTTTCTGCCAAATCATCTCCGATAAAATTGATCTCAATATATCCCTAAAAACTCCCGATGACTAAGATAGTGTCATCAATTCCTTTACTACCACAATCCAACAAGCTGCCTGGACTACCTCCTCTCCAAAAGACTCTCAAAAATTGATAGAAAGACCATTCTACCACAAAATCACATCAAACGCCAATATATCCATAAAAACTCCTGATGACTAAGATAGTGTCATCAATTCCTTTACTAACACAATCCAACAAGCTGTCTGGACTACCTCCTCTCCAAAAGACTCTTCAAAAATTGATAGAAAGACCATTCTACCACAAAATCACATCAAACGCCGTACTATATTATTAAGACAACGAATTAGACATCCCACTAACCGCAGCTCCTATAATTATTACTGTAAAATTTCTACCTATCCTCCCTCTCTGCTTGTGACAATTCCCTTTGGAAAACCACAACAAAAATCCTAAACCCTCACCAAATTTCCCATCCACTCCGACAAGATCATGGTTCCTGAGCAGCATCAGATGAAGATAAAGCCCAGGAGTTTGGCAGAAACTTATACAATATTTCACATCCCGCCCACACTGTAACAGTAGAACAATTCCTTACATCACCTATCCCACTTTCCTTTCCCCATAAAGCAATTCATCCTTGCGAAGTTAAATTTCAATTACAAAAACTAATCCGTAAATCTCCTGGATATGATCTCCTTACCGCTCAGATCCTTCGACAACTTTCATCCAAAGCAGTCATATTCCTTACATATATCTACAATTGCATCCTACGTACTACCCACCTTCCTCTATTATGGAAACACTCAACTATTATCCTTTACCCAAAACCAGGCAAACCTACCAACAGCTTGACATCCTATAGACCAATTAGTCTACTCCCAATCCTTTAAAAAATCTTTGAAAAGATCCTTTTGAAACGAATCCTACCATTCGTAGAATCCCAAAATCTTTCTTCTCATCAGTTTGGTTTTCGATCACAACACTCCACTGTTTAATAAGGACTCCGAGTGGTTGATCATATTTCAGCAGCGCTAGAAAACAAGTAATACTGTTCAGGTGCATTTCTGGACATAGCACAGGCTCTTGATCGGGTATGCCACCCCGAGCTGCTCTTTAAGCTTAAAATCCATCTCCCTCAGTCCTTATACCTAATCCTTTGATCCTACCTCTCCGACCACTCCTTTCGAGTACGCTGTGGAACAGCCTTTTCCAACATTTATCCTATCAAAGCCGGTGTTCCCCAGGGCAGCGACTTGGGTTCCGTGCTTTACTGCTGACATCCCTGCTGATTCCGATACCTTCCTTGCAACATTTGCTGATGACAACAAATCCTATCATCCAATTCAGATCCCGAAATAGTATCCTTAAATCTACAAAGGCACCTCTACCTGATTTAACACTGTTGCAATAAATGGCACAACATGAATTAATACAAAAGTGAATTAATCCAAATGCCAACATATTACCTTTATACTCTGATGCAATACCTGTCCACCAGTACACTTTAACTCCATTCAGCTTCCTTTCTCGGATACTGTCCGGTATCTTGGCTTTCTTTTAGATCGAAGACTAACATGGAACCCACATACTAGATTTAAAAGACAAGAACTCAACCGACGATATGGCCAACTATACAGACTACTAAACATAAAATCTAAACTTTCTATTGAAAACAAATTAATTATCTATAAGACAATTCTGAAACCTATGTGGACACACGGACTTGAACTGTGCAAAATTTTTTAACATCAAACGCATTCAATCTCAAGACCTTCAAACAATAGTTGATATTCCATCCTATGTAATCAAAGAAACCCTACACCATAACCTTAATATCCCATTTGTCCTAGACATTATCCCAGAAAAATTCTCCGAATTTCACCAGAACCTTACCCATCATCCAAATCCCCTTGCACAATCCCTATCCAGCACCACCCATCCCTAAAATCCACCTTGAAGGTTGAAGCCGCAGTGGCCCAGAGACCTTTTGTGAATAAGTATATATTGGAGTTTTGGCAATGGCTAGATTCTCTACTCAAGCCATGTATGTGTGGTTATAGTGCCTCTTCTAATCCTCTACTGGTCTTTAATACCAGTAATGCGGCTGAATGAGGGGCACTGGAATCTCCTAGAGTCCCTGCCTTTCCTTCCAAGAGTGGGGAGAAAGGCTTGGCACGGAGATCTTGAGTGAATGAATTTTTTTTTTAAATATTGTATAGAAGCATGTGGGTATTTGGGTAGTTATTTTCATTAGTTTAGTTTCTTTTTGTTTATTTTATTTTATTTTAGTTTATATACATTTATTTTTAGGATTATTATTTTTCTGTATTATTTATTTTTATTTATTGTGAATAGAGTGTGAATGTGCTCTTTGAACACTATTATAAATGTCCTTAATTTTGACAGATTGTAATATTTCTCAATAAATGTGTTTTAAAAAATGCTTTTATTTTATTATCTATTATTTTATTCTAGCAAATATAATGACATGAGTACACTGGTAGAGGAGCTACCTATTGATAGTAAAAAAAAAAAAAATTTAATTATTTACAACCAAACAAGTCACTACAACCTTAGAATACCTTTGCCTCAATTTACAAATGACAATAAAATAGTGACATACATTTTTAGTGACAAAAACGACATTATTTTCCTGTCCTCCAAATACTTTATTTTAAAACAGCATTTTATTGATTAACAAAATCCATTGCTCGTTTACGAACAACGCTGGCTAATGTTTGTATTCACTTAATCTTAATAAAAATAAGTTATTATGTTTATTTATGTTAACTCTTTTTCAGATAAATGTTAGTTACCAACATAAAATTTGGGACAAAATTAACAATAGCATGCAAAAAAATGTTTCGAACTCCTAAGACATTTTGATTTATATTACATATTCCTTCAAGTAAAATGAGTAAAAAAAAAAGAAGCAATTTGATAAATTTGTGGATATGATAATACTAAAAATAATTAAACCATTCATAATTTACACTCAACACATTAAGCACACCTAGAATGTACATTAATAATATTTCAAATATTCAAAACACCTGATTTGAATTTACTCAAACATGTGCAATAATTAATACACCAATAAATTAGAGCAATTTAAATAGATTCGAAGGAATAAACTTACACAATCACTTTCAATATCCCTTGCTGGATTTTTTATACGGTTTATTGAAAGAAAACTTGTCAAACGCTTCTCAGCCTGAACACAATTTTCCAACATTTCATGAAATGCCAATAATGTTGATGCACAGGGATAACAAACTTGAGTAGGTAATAAATCATTTTCTGTAACCTGTAATATAAACTTATTTTATATAAATAAAAATGATTAAATTTAATTGACATAAAAGCAATTATTTCCTATAAGGAATACAGAAATATTCAAAAAGATGATAATAAGCCTTAAAAGAAACAAAAAAAAAAATTAAATAGACCATGGTACAGAGATAAGCAATAAATTTAAATTTTATGTTTTATAAAGTGACACATTTTTTGTTTAATAAAAAGTTATCACTCAAGAATTAAGATTTCAAAGTAAATAAATTCTCATTACATCTTAAAGTACACAAAATACCTTATTTTATACTTTTATTAAGCTCTAATGATAAATAAATTAAGTCAAAGTCTTTGGGAGTGGTTTACAACTGGCTCCTGATTTGACAAAAACTGTACTGTGGAATTATGATTTGTAGTCAATAAAATAACATAGATATACAAGATAAACAACTTCTTTTGAAAGAAAACAAAACTGTTCCAAAATAGGAAATACATTTTTTAAAACGATATTGAAATTTAACAGGAAATATAACTATCTCTGAAAACAAAAATAAAATAAATATTGACCAATTAAAACGAAAAATGCTTAAATATAAATAAAAAGTAGAAAACAATTCAAACATGGACTAGCAAAAACATTACAAAACATAGTTGGAATATAAATATTGTTATCATATAAAATCTTGAAAATGGTCTCATTACAGGATAAGAAATGTCCTTGCCCTCTTTAAAATCAATGATACTACTATAACCTCTTGCTTATTCTCTCTGATTTCAAGCATTTGAAAATCATACATTCCACAAGCTGTCACCCAGTGCCAATCACTTTAGAATAAACTAAAGGCTTCAGCTTCCTCCAGAATAGAAATCCAAATGACTATTGACAGATCACCTGGCTGAGTCGTATTCTCTTTGCTGCATAATAATCACTGGTCCAAGCTGAAACCTTCCAGCTTCTGGAAGCTTGGCATCGGTCCATTTGGAACCAACAGCCAGTTATGTTCACAAGAGGTATGTACTAGAGGAAGTTGGGCAGCTGGTTCTGAAATAGCTCCACAAAAGTAGCCAAATTAAATGCATTGTCAATAAATAACGACCTCAGCAGGTACTTCCTTCATCGACATACTCATAGCCCTGGAGCCCCGGGGCTAAAAAACGGACCTCATTGCAGGCGAAGATTTTAATGTAAATTATGAAAGTGTATAACATTTTAATTAAAATGAGCTTTGTCTGTCATTCCAAAGCCGCTGCTTTCAGAAATAGCGGCCATGCAAAGAGGACCAAATTTGTGATGGATGACTATTTCCACATTCATTTAGTACTTTTGTAGTTCCTTATTTCATTTTATAAGGTTTCTATAGCTTCTAAACTAGATGTACCACTCATGTTATTAAGGGCGTGGGTGCATGTTGCGCTACAGGATAGGTATGAGCAGATGCATGGTGAAATATGATTCAATTTGTCTGTACTGATTACCTAACCGGTATTCCACAACATTAATTAAAGAGTGTAATTCTAAAATATAATCAAACAAAATTCATTTCTTAAATATCTAAAGAACACTTCAAACAAATTGTAAATTATTTTTGCAATAATATTCTCTTTTTCGAGAATTAGTTAAGTAAGACGGGCAAAAAAGAAAAACAACTAAATAACACAAATAAATAAATAAATAAATATATATATATATATATATATATATATTTTATAGCCACATTATAAACATTATAAAAATCAAATTTTAAGTACCTATGACGAATGTTTTTCATGACATTAAGTCCAGTCAAAAAATGCTGGAAAAGGGAGTATAGAATGAAATGGAGGGGACACAATTTTTGACTTTGGGACATTTTTTGGTCTAGTAAGGGGGTAAAGATGTTAAAAGTCCCCACTCCTAGGTGGTGAGGTAGATGTCGGGGGAGAGGGTCTAGTAGGTCACTTTTTTCGGGTTTTCTCTTATATCAGGAAAACTATCCATTACATCGACAAAGATGTTCTATACAAAATTAAAGCTGATAAAATTTGCAATATGATTGTTTATATATATACCATTTCTCGCCACCTCGCTTAGTTTCCGAGATATCCCACCTCAACTACAGCTAATGTTGAAAAAAAAAGATTTCCTCATGTTTATTGCTGTGTTTTGGGCTTTTGCTTATATCAGGAAAACTATCCATCGCATCGACAAAGATATTCTATACAAAATTAAAGCTGATAAAATTGGCAATATGATTAATTATATATATTTCTTTGCTACCTCGCTTAGTTTCCAAGGTATCCCTCCTCAACTAAGGCTAATTTTGAAAAACAAAATTTTACTTGTGTTTATTACTGTTTTTCGGGCTTTCACTTATATCATTAAAACTATCCATCGCATTGACAAAGACATTCTGTACAAAATTAAAGCTGATAAAATTTGCAATATAATTTATTGTATTCCTTTTTTTGTTGTCTAGCTTAGTTTCAGAGATATTCGTCAACTATCACTAATCTGGAGGAAAACAACTTTTACCTCATTTTTTTTACTGTATTTGACTAGCTAGCTAAAGAAGAAAGTTTTAAATAATTACATTTTCTTCAAGAATGTACATTATTTTACTAAAAAACGTGAAGTAAACTTTTTTTTCCACATTAGCGATAGTTGAGGGTGGATATCTCAGAAAATGAGCGAGGTAGCGAAAAAAGATATTTAACCAATCATATTGCAACTTTTTTCAGCTTTAATTTTGTATAGAATGTCTTTGTCGATGCGATGGATAGTTTTCCTGATGTAAGCAAAAAACCCCAAAACAGCAATAAACATGAGGTAATTTTTTTTTTTTTTCAATTTTAGCCATAGTTGGGGATCAGATATCTTGGAAACTAAGGTAGATAGCAAAAAAAGATATACAATTAATCATATTGCAAATTTTACCAGCTTTAAATTTGTATTTATTTTTAAGTTAATTTTTTTTTATAATATAATAGTGATCACTTATAATTACTTCACGCCTCTAAGTTGTACTTTCAGGTTATACATTATCTCACTTTGCAGTTAACAGCGGATTTAGGTAATCAGTCTTTATAATTAGGAACATGTAACATAATTTAGATTATAATTGGTAATATAAGAATCATAGGACGTATTTGATTAAGACTTAAGACATCCCGATTCCTGATTAAGTTCACGGGGGTAGGGTCAACAGTCCTACGCCCGGTCAGTGTGAGTTGCCTCCAGTAGGCTGACAGGCCTCACAAACCCGGTGGAGGGGGGGTCTCGGGCAACGTGGCTTCCTGGTGGATGGTCACCCATCTAAGTGCTTGCCAGTTAAGTAATTAACTCGAGTAGGTAAGTAATTAACAATTGTTTTCCTTTAAACTAGACAACATTTACTTTAAAATAAAGTATAGTTTGTCACTGTTAAAACCATTTAAAGAGGAGTTTTGAGCAGCAAAATCATGCAGTAAAAATTCAAAATAAAATTGTCTAATTTACACCTGAAAACATGTAAAAACCATCTATTAATTAATACATTGAAATACTATCAAACTTGATGTGTCGAAGAAAAAAATTAAAATCCATCTTACAATCAACTAACTAAAACAATACATAATATAATACAACAATAAATTACAATTAACCTAAATCTGGAAGAGAAATTTGAAACAAAAAATAAGGAATAACATAAATAATAGAAAATCTAAAGATAATTCACTAAACGAATACAAAAATGTGACAAATATTAACCAACAAATAATTAAATATAGTTTTTTAAATTTCCCTTAAATTGGTTAATTGACTGGCATATACAAGGAATGAAGTAATGTAGAAGATCTTAAAAAAATTAAAGGTATGAAGGATATATATATATATATTATATATACCAGACCGATTGATTTCAGATATTTAATTTTAATTAAACTTTTCAATAATTTATTCTAGACATTTTCGCTGAAAATAAAGGTATTTTAGGTGACAGGATATCAAACCACTTAATTGATTTACACAACTTGAGATGAATCTTAATTACTATAGACTTAAACCTAATTAAATAAGAATATTCCTTCTAAAAATGAGGCATCTGTAGTATAGTTGGAGGATGATAAAAAAAATCTCAAATAATTCATAATTTAAAAAAAAAAAACAGAACTTAAGGAAGTTTGTCTGGAGGTTGAACACCTTCCTAAAACTGAATATTTTCAAGCTAACTCCCAAAATGGCTTTTGTTTCTTCTCCCCTCTATGTCCAAAAAACATTTTCACAGACAATTTTTCTGTTGGCTGATTCCCTTTTAGAGCAGAGCTCTGGATTTCCCCTCTAGTTCTTCGTAGTGCTCTCAGGAGGTTTTTCCATTTCCTTTGTAGCCTTGCGTAAATATATGTTATCCTTACAATTCCGTAAGATGTTTGGCGGTCTTTTATAAGACTAAATGTACTATTGAATATTTAATGGTTGACCGTTGCATTATAAAGGAAGGAGATGGTCCGGGCTTGCGGTCATAAAAAGGCTAAATAGTGGTAAAACTATTTTATTGAAAGCCAACGTTTCAACCCGACTTTGCAGGTCTTCATCAGGGAGGTGTGTTCCTCTAGGAGTTTCACTTAGAACTGACAGTTTAGTTAGAACTGTCAGTTCTAAGTGAAACTCCTAGAGGAACACACCTCCCTGATGAAGACCTGCAAAGTCGGGTTGAAACGTTGGCTTTCAATAAAATAGTTTTACCACTATTTAGCCTTTTTATGACCGCAAGCCCGGACCATCTCCTTCCTTTAAATGTACTATTGTTCCAACAATGTATACAGGGTTTTGTTTCGTTTTCCTTTTTGTGTTATTTACATATGAGGACTTAGTTGTTTTTCTTTTTTGCCCGTCTTACTTAACTAATTCTCGAAAAAGAGAATATTATTACAAAAATAATTTACAATTAGTTTAAAGTGTTCTTTAGATATTTAAGAAATAAATTTTGTTTGATTATATTTTAGAATTACACTCTTTAATTAACGTTGTGGAATACCGGTTCGGTAATCAGCACAGACAAATTGAACCGTATTTCATCATGCATCTGCTCATACCTATCCTGTAGCGTGACATGCACCCACACCATTAATAACATGAGTGGTACATCTAGCTTAGAAGCTATAGAAACCTTATAAAATGAAATAAGGAGCAACAAAAATAGTAATTGCATGTGAAAATAATCATCTAGTCTTATTAATATTAATCAAATTAAAAAAAATACATATTTATTGTTTTAAAAAATTTTAATGTTTTATTTATCATAAAAAAAACAGTTGTTAGGTCTTCATAGGTTGAAGATCGAACAACCGAATAATAAATGATTCATTATAAGCGATCACGTGACACATCAATCTTTTTTTCGCTATAACTTCTTACATTCAAGCTCACTCTGCCTACTGAAAGCTTACTGTACTGTGCTAAGTCCTAAATTACGTGTAGTACTGTGCTAACGTATAGTCCTGCTGTACTGTACAGTCCTAAATTGCCTTACTGTGCTAAGTCTTAAATTGATACCGATACCCTGATTCGCTAAAGACATAGATATTTTTATGTACCCAATGGTGAGCTATTTTAGTGGTTGAAAATCCCATTCTCAGTAAATGTGAGTCAATCTAAACAAAGCACATGTCTAGGAAATAGGGATTCTTCTCTATACATTTTGTTGAGCCTCTCATAAAAATCTTCTCTGCTTGTCTTATCCCTTTGGAGGATGATGGACAGGAGTTAATTGGTATCCGCATCTAAAATAACCATTAATCAAATTAAAAATTATTAAATTAACCCTTAATTAAAAATAAATAATAAATATAATAATTAAAAGATGGCTTACCTCTGGTCTTGTATCAACTGTCTGTGGACTAATGCATGGGAAACACCAAGTCTTGGTCTCAACAGATTGCCAAAAGCACTGCCTTAGATTGGCTTTGAACCAGACTATATTTTGTTTAAAGCCTCTAAGGATCAGATATCTAGATATCTAGAGTGCATAGTACTAGTCTTCCTTAATTGCTGGTGTATGCTTCTATTGTTTTACAGTTAGGATGAGGGTAAGGCCAGTAGAAAAACCCATGTGAATATTCCTGCCAGCTTCTAAGGCATTGTCATTGGAAAATCCATGATAAAAAACTGCAGCGGTGAACTCTGAATTGAAGTAAGGTACGATGGAACTACTTAAGTGGGGAATGAGGTGAAGTACTGGTCACCAATAATACAATAGTGATCAAGATAAGATAACACCCACTTTTTATAGGAATTACACTCGGGATAGCAACTAAAATTAATCAAGACTTCTTTAATATTAAATCAATGAAATAAGAAAATACTCTTAAGGTGAACAGTTTTTATATTGTTAAATGATTGTCTAAAAACGTGTATTTTAAAACAACATTTTTCTTATACTTTGGATTCACATTATATATACAATTTAGCTATGCCAAAAAATCGAATCGCACACAATACATTTGGCAAATCAATAGCCAATCTCAATGCCATTTGTACAAAATTAGAGCTTAATAAAAGTAGTAGTTTTCCTAGAAGGAGAGTATCAGTAGGAGGAGAAGAAACACAGTCTCAAGAAAAATAAATAAATAATACAACTTTTTATTTAACTATCCCATACCGCCAGGCTATATTCATTAGAGATCAAAGATGAGCATTTGTTAATGCCATTTGTTTCAGAGAATCAAATGATTTGCCAATGCACTGCATGGTTGATTTCTTATCTTTTTTTTAATTATAGCCAAAGTTAGATATAATTTCTTAATAGAACCCTTACTTCATCTCTAGAAACTTTATTTCAACTGACTGCTGCCATTAAAGATATGATTGAAGTCATTGAGTTTTCCATTATTTTCTCATTAATCGCCACCTTTTTAAAAAATCAAACTTAGCTCACTTGACCACTTCATAGATTAAAAAACACACAATACACTAAATTCAATGTCATTTAATAAAACTAAAACAAGAGTTCCAAAAATTGATCACAATTTTCAGTACATTAAAAAGATAAATGATTTTCCACAGAAGCTTACCCTCACAGACCAGTACAGCATATCACAAACTAAATACAGACCAACAATAATAAATTGAAAATTAACAATTACAAACAATATTTACCTCAACATGCAAATGTTGACTTATTTTAAATTGAAGCTGATAGTCAATCCCTTCACCTCTAAAAATTGGTATAAGGTAGTCATTAGTATTAGCACATACTCTACAAAACATATGAATTGAAGAGTAATGCCAGGTACACTGCGGCTCAGGTCGTTCTATATCTTGCATTTTAAAAATCTTAGCCTCTGTAGTATTTAATTAAATTGATAGATCATAATAAAAATCTTAATTGAATTTGACAGGCTCATCTAACATAATGATTGAGAGCATACATTTTTACAGGCATCATAAAAATAGTAAAAAAAGGTTTACCATAAACAATAAAAACATATACAAATTTAATCAAAAATACTTTACAAGATAACTTATTTTTTTAAATTGTGAATTCAATAACATTTGAAATAACATTTAAACTTCAAGTATCAATCAGGAGTATCATAGAGGTAATATTTTCGATGAAAATGAACCTTCAAGAAGTAACTATTAATTGAAACATTTTTATTATTCAAAACAGAACATTTCCAAGTAAAGTGGAATCGCTGTCTTCTTTAAAGCCCGAATGGATTTTTTAAAATAATACTGATTTTCATCACAAAGAAGGCAGCTCAATAAATGAGGAAGCTTAAAAGAAAAGAATTTCTTGAATATTGAGAAATAATTTATCTCCTCCAAAAACACTTATTATACATAAAATCTTTAGGCATAAAGGGAAGTCCAAAAATCCAGGAGTGAGCAGACTAAAAGTAGTTAATATGAAAGAGAAATAACTTCCACTGGTACTGGTACCGCTATTGGTTTAGGAAACTAGTCCAGCAAGTGAGTTTAGTGGTCCTTTTCGCCAACCACTGACTGGTAAATAGATACTGCCGCCGTGAACTTAATAGAGTGAAATTGTCAATATTTGTTTCTCGATGAAGTCGATATTATATATTAACCGACCCAGGTAGAAATCGAAACCAAAACGTTTAAAACAATGTATTCTAGGACTCACGCTCCAACATGCTCGGCCCCGAAATAACTCTTTTAAAAAAAATTTTTATTGAGGTATGTAATATTCTTTCACAATATGGGCAATGGTTATATTGAGAAAAGAGTTCATTTACACCATATTTACAAAAAATAAACACAAAATAATATTTAAAAAAATAAAATCAACTTAAAGATTAAAAAATTAAATAATCCAGACAACTTATAGACATTATTTACAATCAGTCGACAGAACTCCGAACCAGACTTGTCCCTCCATCTGTGGAGGAAAAAGCAGAACTCCAGGGGATCTCTGCGTTACAACTGTATCACTGGTACTGAAAGTCAGTGAAGCATGAGTGAGAGCGCTATAGCCACCTACACTCCACGTCATGAGTGGAAAACTCGGCCATTGCATAAAATTCAATATATACCTATTACAACTTATTACTCCAATACACATGAAGGCAACTGTCATTTTAACTTTCGAGGGTTGTAGGGCAGGTTGGAACTAGATAGGATTTTGGATTGTGATTTGAGACCAATCTAGAAAGTAGAACGTTTCTATTATTTGGAAAGCCACCGATGGCCGTGTATTGTTCTCACGGAGAGCTGTAATTTCCACTTTAATGACTTGCCGCCAGTTTTGAATCCTCCGATTTAATTGCATTCTTATAGCTCTTTGGTACTTACTAAAATTGAGTAAACGCCTTTGTGACGAACTCATTTTATTTTACTGGTAGCCGAAGGCTTTCCGTATTTCTAAGGTCCAGATCTTTCAGGTTTTCATCACTGCTAAAAGACACATAAAGAGCGGCTTAGGAATGCTAATGGACTACATAACCACCGTGATAGACTTAACATATTTCTTCATGACAATCATATTGATATCGCTCTACTGACTGAAACTCACTTCACTAAAAGGATAAAATTCTACATTCGTGACTACATCACTTATAGATCTGACTACCCAGACAAGACCTCCCATGTCGGTTCTTGCATCCTTATGCATAAATCTTTATCTCGTTCCCTTGTTCCTTCCACTCCATCTGATACCATTCAATCAACGTCTGTAATCCTTACAACCCGCCCTTTCCACCTAACAATCTCAGCTGTATACTGCCCTCTAGGTAATTCCCTCTCTTATGCCCTTCTTGACACCTTATTCCAATCCCTTGGATCGCGCTTTATTGCCGAAGGACTCTACAATGCTAAACACCAACGATCGGGTTTTCGAACATAGAATTCCCGTGGTAACATCCTTTCACGTGTTTCATCCTCCAACTGCTATTCTATCCTCTCGCACATGAATCCAACTTATTGACCAACATCCCTCAAAAAACGTCCCGATATCCTGGATATATTTATCACCTCCCAAATTTCTTCTTCCCAAGCAATAATCAAATTCCTGGGTGCCCTTTCTTCAGATCACAGTCCGGTTCTGCTTTTATTACATTCAAACATTGCTCCTAAACCCTCACAATTTACATTGATTAAAGGACAAGTTAACTGGAACAGATTTCGTCATGATTTGGAAAATACATTAGACTTGAAAATTCCGCTAAAGTTAAGATATTGATGGTGCCATAGACAAACTTACAGCATCCATAACATACAATATCAATAAAAACACCTGTATTAGTAAAGTTAACAATTCACAACTGACTAATTTGCCACAACATATTCGTATCTTATTAAGGGAAAACGCAGAGCAAGATCGAAGTAGCATAGAACTAGATATCCAACTGACAAAACACATTACACCCAACTGAGAAACAAACTAAAGTTAGAAATTAGAAAATTTTAAATTCAAAATTTACTTAATTTTACTGAAAAACTAACAACTACCGACAAATCCCTATCGACGACCACTAAAAAGCTCCTAAAATTCAAAGGTCACAATCATCCGTTACTAACTTCAAACATGGTCCAAATCTGACGAAGAAAAGTCCCAAATATTTGCTCATCACCTCTTCAAAACTTATAATCCACATCCTGAAATCCTAAATCCTTATCACCTGGAATTTATTGAAGCAGAACTAGATATTTCACTCCAAATGACTCTTCCACCCAAAGCATTTCGTCCTTCAGAAAAATCCAATATCATACTTTCCTGACCCTTGGAAACTGTCTATTTTGAAATTGATACGCAAACCTAAAAAGCCACCAGAATAACCATCCTCTTATCGTCCTGTTTCTCTTTTACCCATCATGGCCAAAATCCTAGAAAAACTCATCCTAAAACGCCTGTATCTCATCCTAGATTCTAACCACATAATTCCAGATCACCAATTTGGATTCCGCACATCCCACTCCACTATTCAGCCATGTCATCGTGTGGTAGACGTAGTCTCCTCTGTATTGGAGCGCGGAATGTACTGCACGGGAGTCTTTATGGACGTTGAACAGGCGTACAAACTCCGCAAATTCCTACCACCTACACATTTCCTCATTATCCGCACCTACTTTACTGATACATGCTTTAAAGTAAATCACAACAATTCTTATTCATCCTTTTTTTCCCAGTCTGCATGTGTTCCTTAAGGTAGTATCCTTTATTCTATCCTTTACCCAGTTTATACAGTTGACATCCCAACCCCTCCTGACACTGTCATCACCACGTATGCTGATGAGACATGTATCCTATCTGTTAATAATGATTTATCATTAACATCCCAAACTCTCCAATCACATATCACAAACATTGAAGAATGGTGTAAAAATTGGAGAATTAAAATAAATTCCAATAAATCCCATCAAATTACATTTGCCCTGCGTCGCAAACCTATGACCTTCTGTCCTACAGTATCCTTTAACAATTCCCCACTTATCCCAGTTGAACAAATCCGTTACCTACGACTCCACCTGGACAAACTACTCACATGGAATCCTCATACAAGAATGAAACGACACGAAACCGCTTGACGTTTCCGACTGCTCTATTACTTACAGGCCCTCTAAGCTGTCAATCAATTACAAAAGACTCATATATATGACAATAATAAGACCTATTTGGACTTACGGAATTGAGCTTTGGGGCTCCACTAAACCATCGAATTCCTCTCGCATCCAAGTGATTTCATATTATTATATTCCTGAGCGCACATTTACTAGATGTATTTATTTATTTTTTGTTTTTATAATACAGTTGTAAATATCAATGAATAATAAAAAAATATATATATATTTCTAGTACCCCCAAAATTGTTTAACTGGAAATTTTCGCCCTTCCCCCTCCCCTCGAGTGCTCCGAAGATCATTTTATAAATATTAATCTAGTATCGTTGTATGTTTGACTTTAATTGGTAATAATAATAATTGTTTTTTATTCGTTTATTATTTACTTTTTGTATTTATCTAGTATTGTGGTATGTTTGGTCTCCATAATGATTGTTTTATATTCGTTTATTTCCTTAAATTTTCGGGGTTCCCAAATGTGGAAGCCAAGGCAGGACCCCAGTGCTTCTCCCCCAGCTGCGTCACTGGTATTGCAAGCCAGTGAAGACTGATGGAGGGCACTAGAGCAACAGACACTCAGGACATGAATGGAGAATCTGGCCATTGCCAGTACTCCAATATATACATATTTACAAAAGGCCGAGGGGCCACTGCCGTTTTAACCTCCGGGGAGGATTATAGAGATGGCTGGAGCTAGATAGGGATTGTGCTACAGGATTTGGATGATGAGTGAGTTTCTGGTGAAATTTGGAAAATTTGTCTGGGATTAGGTCAATAACAAATGGGATATGAAGGTCATTATGGAGGGTTTTGTTGGATACATAGAAGGGAGCATCGACTATTGTTCGGAGGACTTTAGACTGAAAGGATTGAATGCGCTTAATGTTAGAAGATTTTGTTGAGCCCCACAGCTCTAGTCCGTAGGTCCAGATAGGTTTCAGGATTGTCTTGTAGATTAGTAGTTTGTTGTCGACTGAAAGTTGAGATTTTCTATTCATTAATCTATATAGCTGTCCGAATCGTCTGTTTAGTAGTTGTCTTTTAAGTCTGGTATGTGGGTTCCACGTTAGTCTTTTATCTAGAAATAAGCCAAGATACCGGACTGTGTCTGAGAGAGGAAGTGGTATGGATTTGAAGTAAACTGGTGGACAGGACTTGGGCCGAAGGTTAAAAGTGATGTGTTTGGATTTGGATTCACTTACTTGGATGTAACACTTATTACACCAATGTTCAATAAGAGAAAGGTGACTTTGTAAGTTTGAGGATGCTGTTATAGGATCTGGATTGGAAGATAGGATAGCTGTGTAATCAGCGAATGATGCCAGGAGGGTTTCGGGATGCGTAGGAATATCAGCGGTAAACAGAATGTAGAGGACGGGACCCAAGACGCTGCCTTGAGGAACTCCCGCCTCAATTGAATAGCAGTTGGAGAATTCTGTACCACAACGAACTCGAAAGGAGCGGTCAGAGAGGTAGGATCGGAGTATTAAATAGGACAGGGGTAGGTGGGTTTTGAGCTTGCAGAGTAGTCCGGTGTGCCATAAGCGGTCGAAAGCTTGCTCAATGTCCAGGAATACTCCCGAGCAATACTCTTTGCTTTCTAAGGCTGAGGATATGTGGTCAACAAATCGGAGTCCTTGTTGAACGGTGGAATGCTGGAAACGAAATCCGAATTGATGGGTTCGAAAGTTTTGTGATTCTATTATGGGTAGGATTCTTTTTAATAGGATTTTTTCAAATATTTTTGAAAGGATTGGGAGTAGGCTGATTGGTCAATAGGATGTGTTATTGGAAGGTTTGTATGGTTTCAGGAAAAGGACGAAGGTGGAATGTTTCCATAAGAGAGGAAAATGGGTAGTTCTTAGGAAGCAGTTGTATATGTGAGGAATATGATCGCTTTGGGTGGTAGTTGATAAAGGATCAGTGGGGTTAGAAGGTCGTATCCAGGAGATTTGCGGGAAGATAATTTTTGTAAATGATATTTGACCTCAGAAGGATGAACTTCTTATGGTGGTAGAGAAAGTGGAATTGGTGAGAAGAGGATGTTTTTTCTACTTTTGTTGTATGGATGGAATGGGATTCAGGATGAGGACTAAATGTACAGGAGAGGTGTTTGGCGAATTTCTCAGGTTTGTCTTCATCAGACGCCGCCCAGGAGCCATCGCCTCGACGGAGAGGATGGGAAATATTTTGGGATTTTAGAATTTTTTTAGTGATATTCCAGAGGGAATTGTCGTGAGCGGAGAGGGAGGTAAGGTAAGAGTTAAAGGATTGGGATTTGAAGTTGGATAATTCTTGCTTGACTTTTTTAGAGTAATAATTATAGGAACGGCGATCTGTGGGATGCCTGGAGCGTTGCCATAACAATGGTACGGCGTTAGGTTTGGATTAACTCGATGATGTGTTGAGGTAACTTATTTTTCTTAGAAATTGTTGGGGAATGATTAGGGGAGGAAGCAGACCAGACTTCTTGTTGAATGGTTGTGGTAAAGGAGTGTACGGCATTCATGGTCTTCTGGGGTTTTCAGGGTTATTCTGAGGTCAATTCGTTCGGAAAGGATTTGATGGAAGAGTTTCCAGTTGACTGGACCTCTGATAAAGGACGGTGGAGAGGGTTTAGGAATAGGAGCTAGTGATACTTGGAATATTAATGGACTGTGGTCTGAGGAAAGTTCATCGAGGCGTGCAATAGAATAGTTGAGGGAATCTAAACCACTGTGGATGAATAAATCAAGGATATCGGGATGTAGGTAGGTGAGGTCGGGGGAACAAGGTTAAAACGTTGGGAATTGAGTGCAGACAGCAGTGTTCGGCCGCGATAATTTTTGGTTCTTGAGCCCCATTGTTGATGCCTGGCGTTTAAGTCTGCACCCAGGATGAAATGTTGTCCTAAGGAATTGAGAAGGGAACTGAATTGGGTATTAGACTGCAGTGCCGGCATGTGCTCTACCGTCAGCATGGTCAGTACGGCATGTAGAGTATTGTGGTATTTTTAAAGTGTTTTTTTGTTAGTTGAGTTTCCGTAATAAGGGCTACATCAACGTTCTTGTCTAGTAGTAAAGCTGTCAGTTCGTCAGTGTGATTTCTAACACTATTCGCATTCCAAAGGAGAATGGATAAGGGTTTGGAGGAAATCATTTAAGGATTTTTTAATGGAGGGATGAGGTGGGATACTAGATTTGTAAGGAGAGATATCAGTGGTGTAACAAGGGATTTGAATTCAGTGAGGAAAGATGCCAACAAACTGGTAAGGTCTGTGGCTTGTGATGGAGGAGGAATATGATGAATGTGATGTTGATGAGGTTGTTGACGGTTTTGTACTTTAGAAGGAATAGGATATTGAAGTTGAAATTGGGGTTCCTGTTGAGGCAGGGCCTCACGTTTGTCAGTTGGGGCTCTGCCCAATAGTAACTGGGAAAAAGAAACTTTAGAGTCTACTATTTTAGCAGGTCCTCTTCTGGGCTTAGAGATTTCTTCTTGGTTCCCGGATTTGCGAATAGTTAATTAAGAATCATTGTGAAATCTCTAAGCCAGCCTAATGCTTATAATTATTATGGAACTCTTGTTATTATTCTTAAGGGACTTTAGCTCCAGAATAAAACTTTTTTTCATTCGCTCATCATTACACCCTCATGATACCGTGAATTTGGATAAAAGTCTCCACTAATTTTTTTTTTTAAAGTAAGATGATAGTATTAATATGTAAGATTGAAACTAGAAATAAAATATATTTTCTTAAAAGATTTAATCAGTCATAACAAGACTAATAGATGATACTACAATATGTTTTTGTCTTTCTACACTCTAAATGTAATTTCATCATTTTTATGTCATATCTTTATTTATTACCTTACTGGTTCATCTTTTGTTAAGTTCAAGTTATATTTTATATTTGATGTAATTAGTTTAGAGATCATTCAGAGCAAGAAAGTTGCATCATAAATTGAATTAAAAGTTAAAATCTCATTGAAATTATCAATTACATCTGAGAAAAACAGTCAGAGGATAGAAATCAACAATAGACATACAATCTACGAAGTGCTTTCCACCAATAGATGTCTTATGGCCTAGAATGGACAAGCATCAATTGTCTATTGAGCCCATATAATTTTTGCTAGAAGTCCATTAATCCAAAAATTATGGACACTCATCAAAAAGATTTCAAGTAATCAGTAAATAACTGATTTATCTGATGAACAATAATATAAATATAAACTATTGATGACAAAATATTCATTTATCATTCTTTTGTTACATGCATGTGTGAGTTCTTCAAATGATTTATACTTCATTTATACCATAATGTACACATATAACATGGTGCTTTCATTTCCTCTTGATCCACGTTATAGGGAGGGGGAGAAGTCCACTGTAATATAAAAAATGTACTTAAAAAGTCAGTGTAGCATTGTAAAACAGAGGGGAGAAAACAAATAAAAATTATAAATTAAATAATCATTTAATTTAGTTAACAATAATCATATCAATTTTATTAAGATCACAGAAAAAATTGTTTTAACAGGATGACTAATTTTAATACTATTGACAAGCAAAACTATACATTAGTAAACTTACATAATATTCTAATTTAATACATATAAAATATATACAACTTTAAGAATAATAATATATGAGGAACTAAAAATTATAAACTATGCCCTGTGTATGAGCATACACACTAAAAAATGATAATAATAAAAATTAAATAATATATATGGACATTATAATTTCATTAAATTTTTCTTAAGGGAAATTTTTGGAAAAATAACAATTTCATGTTATTAAATATTAAGATTCAATAGCCTTTTTCTACTTTAATACTAAAATCATTAACAATCAAAAATAATCTCGTTAACAAACAATTGTCTTTGGTGAACAAGTATTATTAAATAAATTATTTAATTATTGCACAAATATTAGGATAACTGTTCCATACACGATACAAAATTTAATATAAGTAGTAGTATACTAGTGATATAAGTAATGTACTAGTAATATAAGTTCAATTCAGTCAAAATTTTACACAGTCAAATTATCAGTTATTTTGCTCAAATGCCCAATTCCTTTAAGAAATGTTAAAAAACTTATAGAGAGATATCAGTAAAGAACCAATTAACAAAGAGCAGAACATGATACAATAAACCTGAATATAAATTTGATCAGGCAATTACTTAATACACTATTATTTTTATAGGCTAATTAAGGGGCATTTTAGTAGTGAACATTTCTAATGATTTAAACATATATAAAAAAAAACATGTACTACTACAACCCATCAAGGGTCTTGGGTTCCGTACTATTTAGGGAAAGTACTGTTTCCTAGTTAAAGGTTGTGCAAGGAAGTGATTTGACTCAGATCACGCTCAACCGTCAGGTTTTCCCCTTAACTAATTATTAATTAAGGGTACCCACTTTGTAGAGGCTGGGTGTGCCCCAGAAGGGTCTCCTAATCCCAGCGTCGCCCCACCGCTGATGAAACAGAATAAATAATTTTTCCAGGACCTTAAGCATTGGAAGATCAGTGCCCCACCACTGATCTACCCCATTCCCGCCAAAATATAATATAAGATAAAAATATTTAAAATAAGAGCTCATAAAAAAGACAACACATCTCATAATTGAATTTAAGACATTTTTATAATCTATATTTAAATAAGATTAGCAATAATTGTAGCAGTTGTATTTTCGTTTTATTAAAACTATGACTTTGAAAATAATGATAAGAAATAAATATAATTTCCAAAAAAAAGATTTAATATATCAGCAGGAAATCATAAGAAAAAAATAAAAGTAATAAAATACCTTAACTATTAAACAAAAATGATATTCCAAAAAACATAATTCATTCAATTTTTCATGGTTTGTTTTTATTTTATTTTTTATTGTAATGAATTTTTAATACTAATTTTATGACATAAATATGTTTGATTTGTTTTCATTAGTCAATAATTTACATACTAGATCCCCTAAAGTTTTATTCATTTATTTTTTTGAGTGAAAATTATGAAAACATTCTTTTATAATATATCTTCATTAATGAACACAGTTTTTTCTCTATGACACAGTGTCATTTTATTTTTTATAAAAGAAAATAAGCTTTTGATCCCCTATTAGCTAATAAACATTTTACGCTCTCTAAACATCAGATGCATGTATAAATATTTACCAGAAGCATTATGAGCCAATATAACAGAAGGAATATAATATTGAGAAGAATCTTAAATGGTTTTATGGTGGGTAGAATACTACTGATAGCAAAGACAGTTTGATATTCAAAAGGTCTTTCGCTCCAATGCTAAATTATATATGAGACTAATTATTTGATAATATATTATACTATATGTACTGTTAGCTGGATGGAATTAAATAGATGTGACGATAAGGCACGACTAGACGTAGCAGCCTATGTTTTAAAATATATTAATGCTAAATCTTCAAAATGATATTCAACCATGGGCTTAGCAGGCAAGAAGGAAAATTAAACCCCATTGTAGTTATTCAGGTTTGAAAGCGTAGAAACAAAACTTTTACCTCAGTACATCTCACAACTACCCATTAGTCATAGTAGAATTAAATTCAGACTAGAGAAGATTAATCAGGGAGAATTAGTTCAAAAGATATTAATAATAATTTTTTTAAATAGTATTCAACCATGAGCTGAACAGGCAAGAAGGCAAATTAAACCTCATTGTAGTTAACCAGGTTAGAAACAACACAACTAGCCGTTGATCATAGCAGCACCAAATTAAGACTAAAGAAGGTTAACCAGAGATAATTAGTTCAAAAGACATCTTATACCCTAATCCACCAAGCTTTCTAATAACTCAAAGCCATGATAAACTAATGACTTAAAAGCAGAATTAAGTCAAGGTTGATAATAGCTGATGTATGAATATTTGCCATATACACTGAACACTCAGGTAAACTCAATGCAACAGATCAAAAGCATATGCTAGTTTGATTTTAACAAGTGAAGGTACTTTGATTTTGTGATGAACCCATGAAATAAATTTGAACCTCTTTCTACTCTGACTAGAATGGGTCAATAACCAGTAGGTTAACCTGCTTAAGCGAAGGCTTCATACATAGTAAAAAAAAAAATTGTGGTTATTTATCTTTTAATCACAACACTTCATTATGTATGACACCATTAATTGAACTGGTGATATCTAAACTCCTTTGTGATTCATATAACATATTATTACATTAACTATATTTTTAAAATACATCAAATGAATGTGTCATATAAAATTTAAATATTTGAAATAGAGTTCCCAAACCATTTAAAAAGATTTGTTCACCTATAAGGGTTTAGTGTGTATAATTTATAGTATAGACAAAAAATAGAAAATTCCTCTATGCTACAATACATTGATAAAACTGAGAATAAAAGCATTAATAATGATTAACCATAATAAGTAAGATTAGTCTCACTTTCAAAGTTCCTGTTTTATTGCTTTGTCAGACAATAACGAATCATGACTGAAACGAAGTTCATGATTACTTTTTTTGATTTCATTAGCCAGAGCAGGTAATTCACTTGAAAATTCTGAAGTGCTCCAAATGAATAAATCAAGAGTGCGTTCAGTACACTCAGCAATGTATCTAATAAATGGTCTAATATCACCTTCATTTGCAAGTTCAATCATTTGATAATACCTAAAGAAAAATAATATGGCATTAAGTACTGTTATTTATGACATTTTTTTTTTTATATTTTGAAAATGTAAGATCACCTGTGTCTATCTTGTTTCAAAATAATAACAGGAGGGTAACCAGCTTGCATTAGAATTGTGTCCATTAATAATCTGGATGTTCGACCATTCCCATCATTAAACGGATGAAGGTAAACAAGTTTATAATGAGCAAAGGCAGCATACTTTACAGGGTGCAAACGCATTGCTTCCCATGAATTTAACCTGCCAAATAAAATATATTAAATAATAATAATAATAAGGCTTAGCGAACCCGAAGGTTCAATGCCGACACCATCAATCGCTTGTTACACACCTCCCTCCACCGTTCGCCGTCCAAACCCAGTCCCTTCAGATCGGCTTTAATGCAATCTTCCCACCTTCGCTTCGGTCTACCCCTCGGACGCTTACCATTCGGCACAGCAAATATTAACCTTTTAGGAATTCTCTCGTTACTAAGCCCAACAACTTTACAAGCCCATTTGATTCGCCGCGATGAAATTACCTCAATTATATTACCCGGATACAGCTCACGCAATTCGGCGTTGTGTAACCGTCTGAACTCTCCGGTTAACTCATCCTTCTTCGGTCCGAATATTCTACGCAATACTTTATTTTCAAAAACCTTAAGACGCTGCTCATCCCTTAATGTAAGCGGCCAAGTTTCGCATCCATAAAGAACTGTAGGCAAGATAATTGTTTTATAGATTCTAATTTTTAAGTTTCGAGACAAGAGGCGCGAACTAAGTAGTTTTGTCACAGAAAAATAACAAGCATTGCCCGCCTTCAGTCTAACCTTAATCTCTTCTTCAATTTCGTTTTTTCTAGTTATTGTAGAACCTAGATACCTAAATTTATCTACCTGTTCAAACATATTACCATCTATATCGATATCACCAGCAGTATCGCCATTTTTGCAGCTAACCGTATATTTTGTTTTATCCACGTTTATTTCGAGTCCTAGTTCTTTACTGGCTTTCATTAACGTTGTCGTATTTAGTTTTATAGTTTCAACGTCTTCGCTTAACAGTACCAGATCATCAGCATAGCCCAGCACGGATGTTGTCCCGCCCAGATCCAACCCTTTCTCGGTTCGCATTACCTCCCTAATGGCATGTTCTAATGCCAAATTGAACAGGAGAGGCGAAAGAGAATCCCCCTGTTTTAAGCCCGAACGAACCTCAAATTTTTCGGACAAATTATTACTGATTCTAACTTTATTGAGTGTCTCCTTCAAGCACATCCTGACTAGATTTACTAGTTTTTTTGGAATCCCCTGCTCGATTAGAATATTATACAATTTCTGGAGGTCAATAGAATCGTAAGCCTTTTTAAAATCTATATACAGCTGGTGAACAATACCGTTATACTCCAATTTTTTCTCTAATATTTGCCGTGAAGAAAATATTTGATCAATAGTCGAACGATTCCGTCTAAATCCGCATTGGTAGTCTCCGATAATTTCCTCGGCGTATTCCGTGATTCGACTGGTTAAGATTAAAGTGAATATTTTATAACATACCGGAAGGAGTGAAATTCCTCGATAGTTATTACAATCCGTCCTCGGACCCTTTTTGTGAATCGGAATAAGAATAGATTCTTTCCATTCTTCAGGTAATTTCTCGTTCACCCAGATCTTTTTAACCAACCGATGTATTTTAGAAACTCCAGCTTCCCCGCATGCCTTAATTAGTTCAGTAGGAATATTATCGATTTCCGCTGCTTTATATGATTTTAATTTTTCGATAGCTACTTCAACTTCCTCTTTACTTGGTCCTTCTATTAACGGTTCAGCACTCTGGTACTCAGAAGGACACAGATCATAATTTCCCGTATTTAAAATATTGTCAAAGTGGTCCTTAAACTTATTCAATATGTCAACCGGATCGGTCAGAATATTGTTATTATCATCCCTAATTCCAGATGTTAAGGGCCCTACATATTTACGTGATCTGTTTAAACCTTTGTACATGTCTCTTACGTTATTTTCGATTCTATTAGTTTCTATTTCAATTATTTTATTTTTAAGATACTCCCTTTTTTTATTTTTGAGCAATTTTGTCGTTTCGTTCTTTGAGATTCGGAAGTATTCCAGATTGTCTTCGCTAAGATTATTTAGAGCTTTTAATTTAGCGGCTTTTCTTTTTTCGCACATGTTTAAGCAATCTTCATCAAACCACGGTTTGTTATTCTTATTTTCCTTTTTTCCTACCTAGACACGAGTTACCGACCGCTTTAATATTATCCCTGATCTCTACCCATAACTTGTCAATATCCTCGTGGTCCTCGTCAGGAAGCTCTAAAGCTTCAAACCTATTCTTAACATCTAGCTCGAATTGGTTTCTAATTGATGGATTTTTTAATTTTTCCAAATTAAAATTCTCAAAATCGAAACGGTTTTCTTTTCTCTTTTTTATATTAAGTTTTTGTCGAAGTTTCGCGATTACTAATTCATGATCCGACCCACATTCTGCTCCGCGATAAGACCGTACATTAATTATACTGCTTTGCCAGCTGTGTTGTATCAAGACATGATCGATTTGATTTCGTGTTTGCGAATCCGGTGATGTCCAAGTATATTTATGAATATCCTTATGTTTAAACGTCGTACTTTTAATAAAATAAATAAATATAAATAAATAAGTATAAATAAAATAAATTTTTTTTTATTTGTTTATTTAGAAATATTACATTCTGTCACATCAAGGACATTTATAATAGTGTTCAGAGAAAGCACACTCACACTCTATTTACAATAAAAAAAAAATAAAATAATACAGAAACTTAATAATAATAAATACAATAAATAAAATAAAAATAAATACAATAAAATAAAATAAATGTATATAAACAAAAGAACTAACCTAATCATACACACTCGGGCTTGAGTGGAGGATCTGGCCATTGCCAAAACTCCAATAGATGCTTATTTACAAAAGGTCTCTGGGCCACTGCCGCTTCAACCTTCGAGGAGGATTGTAAGGATGGGTGGTGCTGGATAGAGATTGTGCAAGGGGATTTGGATGATAGGTAAGGTTCTGGTGAAATTTGGAGAATTTTTCTGGAATAAGGTCTAGGACAAATGGGATATTAAGGTCATGGTGTAGGATTTTGTTATTTACATAGAACGGAGCATCAACTATTGTTCGAAGGACTTTAGATTGAAAGGATTGAATACGTTTGATGTTAGAAGCTTTTGCTGTACCCCACAGTTCAAGTCCGTATGTCCATATAGGTTTCAGTATTGTCTTGTAGATAAGTAATTTGTTTTCAATAGAAAGTTTGGATTTTCTGTTTAGTAGTCTGTATAGCTGGCCGTATCGTCGGGTGAGTTCTTGTCTTTTGAGTCTAGTATGTGGGTTCCACGTCAGTCTTCGGTCTAAATGAAAGCCAAGATACCGGACTGGGTCTGAGTAAGGAAGCTGGATGGAATTAAAGTGTACTGGTGGACAGGAACTGCGTCGGAGTGTAAAGGTAATGTGTTGGCATTTAGATTCATTAACTTTAATGCGCCAGTTATTACACCAGTGCTCAATCAAGGTGAGGTGGTTTTGGAGATTTAAGGATGCTATGTTGGGATCTGAGTCGGATGATAGAATAGCTGTGTCATCAGCAAAAGTTGCCAGGAAGGTATCGGGATGGACAGGGATATCGGCGGTAAAGAGGATGTAAAGGACGGGACCCAATACGCTACCTTGAGGAACACCTGCCTCAATTGGATAGCAATGCGAAAATTCAGTACCGCAACGAACTCGGAAGGTACGATCTGAGAGGTAGGAACGGAGAACAAGGTACAAGGACTGAGGAAGATAGTTTTTCAGCTTGGAAAGAAGCCCGGCGTGCCATACCCGGTCGAAAGCCTGAGCCATGTCCAGAAATGCACCCGAGCAATATTGCTTGCTTTCCAATGCTGCGGAAATATGATCAACCACTCGGAGTCCTTGTTGGACTGTAGAGTGTTGTGAACGAAATCCGAACTGATGGGAAGGAAGAGTTTGGGATTCTATAAAGGGTAGGATGCGTTTTAGGAGGATCTTTTCAAAGATTTTTGAGAGAATAGGAAGAAGGCTAATTGGTCTGTAGGACGTTGAGGTGTTGGGAGGTTTGCCTGGTTTCGGAAACAGGATAATAGTGGAATGTTTCCACAAAAGAGGAAAGTGGGTGGTTCGTAGGATGCTATTGTATATGTATGTAAGGAATATGACAGCTTTAGGAGGGAGTTGTCTAAGGATCTGAGAGGTAAGCAGGTCGTATCCAGGTGATTTACGGGTAGGTAGTTTTTGTAAAAGGAATTTGACCTCAGAAGGATTAACTGCTTTAGGCGGTAAGGAGAGTGGGATGGGTGAATTAAGGAATTCCTCTACTGCTGACGTGTGGGTGGGATTGGATTCTGGATGAGAGGTGAATGTAAGGGAAAGGTTTTTGGCGAATTCTTCGGCTCTATCTTCGTCAGATGCTGCCCAAGAGCCATCACCTCGACGGAGAGGATGTGATATGTGATGGGGTTTTAGGATATGTTTGGTGGTCTTCCATAGGGAATTGTCATGAGAAGAGAGGGAAGTGAGGTAGGAGTTGAAGGATTGGGATCTGAAGGTGGCCAATTCTATCTTTAGTTTTTTGCAAAAATAATTATAGGATTGGCGATCGGTGGGGTGTCTAGTACGTTGCCATAATAATCTGGCACGGCGTTTGGTATGGATTAGGTCTATGAGGTGTTGAGGTAACTTATTTTTCTTAGGAGTTCTTGAGGAGTGGTTTGGAAAGGAAGCAGTCCAGATTGCTTGTTGGATAGTGGTGGTAAATAAATTAAGAAAGATATATATAACATCATCAAATGAATATTTACAAACTGATTCAATAAAATACTAACCATTTTTCAAACTGTTCCATAAGAGGTGGTATATTTGATGGAGGTGGAGGAATATGACCACCAACGAAAACTTGAGTTCTTCTCAGTGTACCTGCTTCAACCGGGTCAACAAATCCTAATACTCTACGGTGAATTTCGAGTATATCAGCCACAGTAATATGACCAATCCTGGAACAAGTTACTAATCACATATAATATTTAAGACAGCATTATTTATTATAGCATCATTAAGTTACAAATTATAACCAAATGATTTCACTATCTTTAATAGTTAAGATAGAAAATTAAAATCTTTAAACTATAAAAATAATTTTTAATAGAGTATAATGAGTATTAACATGTTAAAACAAACAGTGAGATAAACATATAATTAAACATCACAGTGAAAACTTTCCAAAAGTTAAAGTAAATAGATACACAATGTTGCAATCTTAAAATTGATATTGTTTTCAAAAACTACAACTTCAAAAATATTAGAATAAGGGTCCTTATATCTTGAAGAAAACCAAAAAAAAGATAAAATAAATTGATACACGATGGTGCAATATTAAGACTAATATTTCATAAAAAGCACTTTTGATCAACTTCAAAATAGAGGATATACACAAATTTATAATAAATTGATAATTGAATGCAAAATTCTTTAAAAGAAGTGCCAACCCAAAAACGGATTTCAATATCAAGGATATCTGAAAATGTACAATAAATCGATAAACCAATTGGTGCAAAATATTTCTTAAGTAGTGCCTTCGATAACCAAATAACGACACCAATATAAGAGGATATTAAAAAGATATAATAAACAGATACACAATAGCTTAATCTTAAAATTGATATTACTTTTAAAAACTATACTTCTGAAAATATAAGTGTGCCTCAGAGGTGGTAAAAGGTTGGGTATTCACTTTTTTATGAAAATGAGTTTGGTACTGATTTGTATGTAATTTTATATGCTCTTTTCAATAGTATAAGGCTTGAAGTCTATATCAGCATAGTTCTCTAGATAATGATATATGTGAGATGGATATTCATATGTCGATATCATAGTAAATGGATGCATATACATTAGACATTTTATCACTTTATTCTTGATTTTTCACCAAGTTACTTGTAGAGGTAAAAAGTCCGGTGTCCAGTGAAGATATTTTACTGCAGTTATATTCACGGTTTGCTAAATAGAAGTAGGTCTTATAATTGATTAAAACTATGGTATATCAGAGTAATTCCAAACGTAACAATATGCTATTTTGGATCCCAATCCTTTACCTGATGAGACCTTTGCTTTAAAATTTTACAGTGAGAAGATATTTAAAGATGTATTCCATTCCAGAAAAATGGTTGACTTATGTAATTTTTGGGGAAATAAAGGTAACCCAAATTCATGAAATTTAGACAGTAGTAAGTAATATAAAGAATACAGGGTGTCCAGTGATTCTCCTCCGAAAAATTCCAGCACATTTTCCGTTTTTTTCAGATTTTCACCGTTTTTTACCCGTAAATAACTCTGTTTCAAATGTGTTAGAAATTTGTAAATTGAATTGATGTGAGAAAAGTTCCTTCTAAACTCTCAACTTTTTTTACCACCCCTCCTCTATGTCCCGAAATTTCTATAAATTTAATTCGGAACTAAATAATAAAATGTTCCTTACACCGTCCCACTGCTCCTTGGCTTGCCAATGAGATAAAGGAAATGATGAGGGGAAGAGATGCAGCAAGGCGCAAATACCGTCAACCCTCAAATACCATTTGCCTGTGGATTATGCGTCTTTTAAGGAGCTTCGCAATGGAACCCAATCCGCAGTCCGACTTGCTAAAGCTACCTTTCCATACTTTCATAATATCCTGTCCAATGCTCCCGACTCCAAATCTAAGTGAAAAATACTCTGTAATCTATCTCTACCAGAATCCAATAATCTTAGTTCCTTCTCTCTTTCTCCAGACGATCTCAATAACCATTTCTTATCCTTAACACACACTTCTTCTACTTTCACAACTTTAATCCTGAATACTTATTTTTCTCCCATGTGTCCTACAACGCGTTACTTTCCACAATACTAAAATCCCACACAAATGATTATGGTATAGTCATGATAATACTCCAGTAAAACTAATAAAATCCAGCCTTCCTGTTCTTTATTACATCTACAAATTTTCATTACAAAAATCCATATTCCCATCCTCCTGGAAAACTGCCCTAGTCCGACCTTTGAACAAAATTTCCAACCCTACCACACTGCATGACTTCCGTCCTATTTCTCTCCTATCCAACCTTTCAAAGCCGTTAGAACGCCTGGTCCAAAATCAACTCTCCAACTTCCTAGAGGAACATTCCCTTATTAACCCATTCCAATCTGGCTTTTAACCTGGCTACTCAACACAATCTGCTCTCCTTAAAATAACCCATAATCTCCAAAACTCCATTGAATACCAAAACCTTACTATCCTCACCCTTCTAGATTTTTCCAAAGCGTTTGACACAGTTGACCATAACATCCTCCTAGCTAAATTGCACAATCTTCCTCTATCCAACAGTGCCCTGCATTGGTTCAAATCCTTCCTTTCAAATCGGTCCGAGTATGTAGTAGTCCCAGGTCAACCTTCATCTAAGCCCCTTCCTCTCTCCTGTGGTGTCCCTTAAGGTTCCTCTCTATCTCCTACTCTCTTTGCTATTTACATTAATGACCTTCCCCTCATGATACATCACTCCCAATACCATATCTATGCAGATGATTTCCAAATATACCTGTCCTTCCCGCCCACCGATCTATTATCAGCCACAGAAAAACTTTGAAGAAGACTTGGATAAAATTTGTGACTGGGCGAGAGCTAACAAATTGAAGTTGAATGAGGAAAAGAGGAAGGCAATCTTAATAGGCTCCAATCACCTCCTTAAAACTGTTCCTAATATTCCACTCTGTTCCTGCACGATAATCCCATCAAAAACCTTGGAATAACCTTCCATCAAAAGCTTTCCTGGAAAAACCATGTATCCAATATTTAACGCCGTACCATTTCCACTCTAAAACGTCTAAATTATTCTTGTCACCTATTTCCATTTGAAACCCGTAGGCTCTGCTCCTAGTCACTTCCTTAATTTTTCCCCACTTTGACTATTGCTGTTCGGTATATGGGGACGTCTCTGGGGATCTCGAGGCAAAACTAAAACGTTTGATAAATTGCTTTGTACAATTCATCTTTGGGATACCAAGTGACGCATCTGTTTCCCATTTTTTCACAGAGTTGAAGGTGCTTTATCCTTCCTACCGTCGTAAATATTTCCTGGCATCCTTCCTCTTTGAAGTCATCCAATCCCACCATCCTTCATACATCTCCGAGCTCCTTCAATTCAAATCCTCTTTTCGTTCTCGGTCTTCTGATTATACATAAGGGCCCATCGAACCGCTGTTTTCAACAGATTGTTCATTATCCGATCCTCATCCCTTCTCACATTCGTCAATCTAATACATTTTGCATCCTGCCTGTTCAATCATTTGTTATCCATCCAGTCCCCTTGAAATTGTAAATAGATACTAATGTAAATATGTATATAAATTATTAGTTTTTTCTTCATTATTTTTACTTCATCTTTTTTTCAATTTTCTATTTTTTATTATTAACTGATTAAAATTAGAAATTAACTTATAATTTTTTATTTTTTTACTATGACTTTAATTACTCTGTATTTTTATTTGTGTATCTCTGAGGCTCCTTAGCCCATATTTATGTTTTTCTCTATTATTCTACAGGGACTCGTCCCAGAATAAATAAGTATTAGTATTAATATTATTTTTAAAAAATGTGACCTGAATGACGCTGACACGTTGTGCACTTCTATTTATTTTTAAAATGTTTTAATCAGTTATTTAACGTTTTGTCTAAACGGTTGAATAGTTTATAAATTGTTAACTAAGTTAAATTGTTCAATATAATCAACAAGAAATATAAGTAAATTATTCATAATTGGTAATTGGTTGACTGTCGTGGATAATGAAGAGAAGAATAGTTGGGGTGGTCAGTCAAAAAGAAAGGCAAAAATAAATGATAATATTTATTTTTACATATGCCGACATTTCGACCTGAAGTTCAGGCCTTCATCAGGGCTAAGAAAATAACCAGATAACAAGGTATGAGAAACATAAGTATTGATGGTAAAAAAAAAATAAAATAAAATAAATATGAAGTAAAATGAAATTGTTAGAATAATGACTAAGAACTAAGAGATAAATAATAATAACTGTTACAAAGTGTTGAATGATGAAGTAGGCGTAATCAAAAAGGGTGACATAAGTGTTACAATGGGAATCTTAGAATAAAATGTAAAACATAAAAAAGAAATATGAAGTTATATAAGAAATAAAAATAAATAGTAAAATTAAGACATTGAGAATGGAGTAGTTAGATAGAAAATTGAGATATTGGAAAGTCTATCAAGATGTACAGACAATGTATAATATAATAAAGAGTTAAAAACAGATAAAAAGAATGAATGGAAGGAGGGAAGAAATTGAGAAAGCTGAAATAAGAAAGAAATAAAAGAAGTACTACCTGTCTCCTTTAAGTGTTGCAGGGAGAATAAAAGTCGTTGCAAGGGAGGGGGAGAGAGAAGAGATGTGTAGGTGGCGTCATCTCTAACGGTTATCCTTAGTTATTAGTCATTATTCTAACAATTTCATTTTACTTTATATTTATTTATTTTATTTTGTCTACCACCACTACTTATGTTTCTCATATCTTGTTATCTGGTTATTTTCTTAGCCCTGATGAAGGCCTGAACTTCAGGTCGAAACATCGGCATATGTAAAAATAAATATTATCATTTATTTTTGCCTTCCTTTTTGACTGATCACCCCAACTATTATTCACGACAGTCAAATATTTACCCACAATTATTGATAATTTTTTTCATAATTATCAATAATCAATTCATAATAATTTTTTTGATAATCAGTCTCTGTAAATAAGTGTATAAAAAAACAGTCAGTTCTTAAGAAAATCCTTTTCATGGTCAAAACTAGGATAATACAAAAATGAGAGAAGTAAAAGAAGAATATGGTAGGTCACACACTGAGCTAATGAGCTAACTTTCTACAACACATTGGTGATAAGCGTTTTATCCATATCAAGTTACTCAATGTGAAATGTAATAAAAATATTTTGTCACAATATTCCAAAGTATTTATTAATAGACTAATTATCATGAAAATTACAAGTCAAACCAAATTTAAGTATGGTCCTAAGATTAAAAAAAAAAAATCAAGTTTTGACTTCTAACATCAAAACACATTGATATCCGGACCTAATAATTCTAAAATGGCCCTCAAACAGTCAATAATTATTCACGGACATTAAAATTGAAGTAATAAATAAACTGAAAGTATTATTGAACTTGTGAGGTAGGTAGAGATGGAGTGAAGTCTGATACTGAGGAATGGTCCTTCAGCACATCATTCTTCATTAAAATGGTAGAAAGGGATTACTTCACTCAACATTTCTGAGTAGAGACCACTAATTAGTGAGTATACAATTTAATCTCCTATATTCATCATAATTTATAATTATGAGGTATCCAATAAGAAAAATAAACCAACTAAAACAAAATAATATATTAATTTACTACTTTGAATCAATAATAGATTAAGATTTAAAAACCCACTAATGCTCCCATAAATAACTTTTTTTAAAAGAAAAGAATTGTTATTTTGTTTTAATGTTTTGGTCTTATTAGCCATTTTTAAAATTTTAATTTAAAAAACAGTCAAAAAAACTAAAAATATCCTACAATAACAATATACCACTCAATGACAGCACATATTAAAGATAATAATTTATTTGAAGTCCTTTACTAAGTATAGTTGGTTGTTTTTGTATTCTAAAAAAAAAAAAAAATGTATATACTCTGTCCTGTCTAGCTGTTCACAGTTAGGGTTTGAGTTCACTGTCCAACCATAAAGAACAAAATGCAAAATGCTTTCGAAGTTGCACTTTCCAAATTTTTTTCCAGAACCTGTCATCTTTCAAAATATCAAATATCAACTTGCTGCTGGGCTTGGGCCTCTGTCAAGTCTAGCGGGTTGGATCTTGGTTTATACTGCATGACCAGGTTTTTAATTTGATGGATGATTTAATTAGAAGACTCTACTATGGCCAATCAATTATAAGTAGTTGCATGTGGGTCCTGGTTTATATATTTCAGAAGAACAATGACCTGATCTGGGTTTATATGAAAAACTTACAATCCCATTGTTGAAACGCCTGAACCAAATGGATAATTGACTCTCCTTCAATTAAAAATTTCTTTGGCAGCTGCCTTTGGCTTAGACCTTTTTTCCAGTAATGTCCCAAAAGACTAGGAATCACAATTTTTCTTCTGACACTGTGTGTGCTTTTTAATAATGTAAATGACCCCATAAAGCCAACTTAAGTCACAAGAAATTAAATGATTAGTCAAAGTAAATTAAATACACTGTTCATATAATCATTAATGTCTTTGTCCAAGGTTGTTTCAAATAATAGAAATTTATTTAAAAATTGGCTTAGTCACAGATTGTGTCCGTAATCTGATCTGTACATGTTTTCAGTTAAGTTCTGATTAAATTAAGTTAGTTACCAATGATCAAACTATAGTATATTTATAATTTTCAGAGGATTCCCAATTTTATTTTCCCCTCAATTTAAGCTTGGATAATATGGAAACTCAGTTAATGAAGACTGTTCAATATAAAGTGACTTAAAATTTGGTTTAACTCAATTTTTTCCAAATCTAATATGAATATAGGTCTAAAACCTTATGGGAGTAACTTTCAGAGAGAAAAACCTGAACTTATAACCAGATAAATCCTCCTCCTCCCGCTGTTGGCACTTATCAGAATATTTAATTTATCTGGTCAGGTGATTTAGTCTTAATCGATATTTAATTCTTGCGGATGTACAGGTAGCTTGGAAATGGCTACTCAACCTCTCACAATAATAGAAATTTTGATTTAAAGAATGATGAAGGCTACAGTTGGATAAGCGGTCAGGAGCCAATTTGGCTGTGGCCTTCCCATTAATAAATGTTTGCAAATTAAGGGTTTAAGGACAGTAAGAAATCAGTATACCAATATTGATTATAGTTATTTAGGATCAACAGATCTTCACCTAGGGAAGGGGGGCGGAGGGAGGTTATTTTCTATTTTCCAGGAAAATCCTGGTCAGCATAGCTTTCTGTCACGCATCCAGTTACCACACTCGACATTCTTTAAGTTTGAATAACTATACACTCTTGGCTTCCCTAACCCGTAAGAAAATAAGTGAATGCATAAATACATAAAGAAAATAAATATATTTATCTTTAATAGAAAAATATTTGCTTCTTATTAAATCAAAAGCTGGTATTTAAAGTTCTTTTAAAATAGGCATTAATAAGTTTTTATTAGTCATAAAAAGAATATATTTCCAGAAAAGAATTAATCGAACAGGAAGATAGAAATAATTAAAATTTCCTATAATATATAAATATAAATAGCAACTACCTGTTAATAAGAGTGGTATTAATATACTTTAAAGCTGCATCTAAGCCAAGTATTTCATTATGTTCAACAATGCTTTTACCACCAATAGCCATCTTGGTCTCAACAACAGAACGTGTTTGGGATAAAGTCATTGTATTACCTTCAATACCAACAGTATGGTAAATATGCTGAAACAAAGTATTGCCGATGAAACTATAGTCGAATTAAAAATCTGCCCCTTTCAGTAAATCCTCTCATACAAGTTAATATTTTTTATCTATAATCCAAATTCTGTAGATCAAGATCATCATTAAATGAAGAAATGATCAGAACGATCCAGCAAAAATTTAGTTACAGAAATAAATGTATTCATAAATTGATGGCATGGGGTTATTAACTATAAAAATTCTATTTTTTAACATTTAATTAAACTGATGCCATACTAGATTTCAATAAAATTGTATGTGAAGCATAATCCATCAAAGCCTATAGCAACTTAAACCCTTCAGAAAATAAAATAAAAATTAATAAAAAAAAAATTGCAATAGATAATACAACATATATAACTTTAAAACAAATACTGTCAAAATTAAAAAGTACAAAATGCAAAATTTATAATAAACAGATAAATCACATTAAATAAAAAAGAAAAAATATATATATCTGAATAATACTGACATTTCAAGTCAATATAAACATTCTTTTTATTTATTATAGCAAAATAATAAAGACGTTTATTTATTTATTTTTCAATTGTCGGCCCAAGACTTCCAATGAAGTCCTATACTGCAAAGATATTTATTTATATTGCAGTTAATTTTATATATTTCAAAATGGTACAAATTTTTTATCAAACAAGCGGACCTCAACAATTTTTTAAGATGATAGATATTAGGTAAAGTTTAAAAGTTAATATTTAGTAAAAATACTTTAATTAAGAGGCTAATATTTAAAAAATAGATAGGCTACTAATGCATATAAGCTTGGGTAGCTGAAAAATATTATAAAATAAATAAATAAAGATAAGAGTCATAGATTATTAATTTAGTTTCAGGATGTTTAATGTAATGTTTAGAGCGAAAATGGGCAGTCATACCCTGCCCAATGTGAGTGATATGTTCCTTAGCAATGAGAATAAAATAAACATTATTTTAAGCAGAGTTTCCTATCCCTCCTACAAAAATAGCTTTATTGCATTAATTTTTGTTGCTTTTTCAGGATTTTTCATTTCAAAATATAAAAATAATGTATGTACGAAGGTTTAGATAAATAATTATTCATAATTGATCTCAAAATTTGTATTTTAATTTGAAATTGTATATATATATAATCTGTACCACTACAACCAATGAAGGGTCTTGGGTTCAGTACTATTTAGGGAAAGCACTGTTTCTTGGTCTACAGTAGTGCAAAGAGGTGTTTTGACCGAGATCACGCTCAACCGCCAGGTTTTTTCCCTTAACCAATTATTTTAATTAAGGGTACCCACTTTATAGAGGCTGGGTCTGCCCCAAGAGGGTCTACCTACCCAGGGTCGCCCCACGGCTAATGAAACAGAATAAATAATTTTTCTGCCATGAGCCGGGATTCAAACCTGGGACCTTTAGCATTGGAAACTCAGTACCCTACCACTGAGCTACCCCACTTCTTATATATATATATATATATATATATATATATATATATATATATATATATATATATATATATATATATATATATATATATATATATATATATATATGCACATAAAAAATAATAGTTAAAGCTAACAACTTACATACTTAATTAAAATTATAATTTGTACATTTAAGTTTTTTGGTACTGTAAGTACCATTGACTCCAATACGTTAAACTAACAGCCGGCATTTATAGTATTGACACCTGTCTTTAAACAGAGTGCAATTTTCATTTCAATGTCTAATCTTAAGTTATTAACTCAAGTTTTAAAATCCCTTTAAATCAAGTAACTTTAAAGTCACCAAAAAATTATTTTTGGACTAAGAATGAGGCTCTAAAACTTTTTTTGTTTTTACTACATATTTATTACATATGGCTAACATACAGACCACCGAAAACATTTTTTTTTTTTTAAATTAGTGCTCAGAAATTTAAAGATCTGTAACTAAAAATTTATCACACTCGAAATTCTTACCTTAACAAGGCTACCTCTGGTATCAGTAAGAAAGTAAAAGATATTAATGTTTTATGGTAATACATTAAAACTACTGCATTACTATTCACTAAATCATTACTACTTAAATAAATTATACCCATTGATACGACTATTCATAATGTAATCTTAATTACATGTAATCCAATAAAAATAAATATACAGTGAAACTTTTCTAAAGTAGACAAATTTATAAACCCCCATCAAATTTTATCATTTTATATTATCATTATTATATTTTTAATGGACACAGACTATTTATGCAAAACTTTGTTTTCTATTCAATAATATTAAAGTAGAAATTATAAACAATTGTATTTTTCATTTGTCTTCATCACTCTCAATAATCTTCGATGAATTAATAAGTTAAATATAAAAAAAAAATGTTAGCTCTTCAATGGTATATTATACATCTGTAATACTACTCTTATTTCCAGATTTTTTTTATCAAGCTGGAAAAATATTTTTATTTCTCTTTTAGTTAATTACCAAATTCCTGTTTATTGCATTGAATTATTTCATACTTTAAATTTATTCATTTTTTTATTAGTGCTAACAATGAAATATGGTTAATTATTTGAAATAAACAAAATTAATAGTCCTTTAAAAGTAAGCCAGTATGAAAATTTGGCATATAATACTTGTTAGTATATTTCAATGAGGACTAAGCTTTATCTAATATTAAAGATTATAAAATTGTACCATGTACAATATATAAATAGATACAACAAATATAATCAAAGTCATTTTTGAAAAAGTTGTAAGAAAGTGTAAAAACGATGATATAAAATGGCACTTCTTATAAGTCGATTTCAGCAAAAAAATTGTGGCAAGATCCCAGAACTACGCCTACTTTAAATCCAAAAAATTATGTTGTACAACTTTTCCTTTTTGCTATTCACATACATAGACCATTTAGGGAGATCTGATTATTCAGGCTTAGGGGACTGAATATGTGTATTTCTGTTGAAAAACAGGATTAGAAATTTTGCACAATTGCAATATTTTCCCTAAATTATATTTTATATATCGGCAAACAAAAATTTCCAGCTGAGATTAAGATAACCCCTTAGTTTCCTCATTAGAATGACTAAGATGTATATATGTAGCTTTTTCTGTTCTTTTAGCTATTCGATTATAGACATTATAGATTAGAGGAATGAATTAAAGTAGAGATATCATGACGATTTCCCCCATTTCCACAAAATTTAGAGTGAATTTCTCACTAAATTGCAATGACTCTACGAAATCTCTAACATAATCCCGAATTTTCTACCTTACATTACAACAAAAAAACCTGAGTTGTAATGTAAGGTAAAATCAATTGTAAAACTTTTGAATAGGATGTTTTGTGAATGAGGAAACAACTATGAAACGTCCATTGTTAAAAAAACAAAAACAAAGAATAAATAAAATAATCTTGTTTGCTCAATCTAACATAATTGTTTGACTTCTTAGAAATTTTCAAAGAAAATTATTCCAGATAATGGTTCCAAATTTATTTAAGAGAGATTCTGACCATTTTGTTAGAGGAATAGGGTCAAATACATAACACCTCACTATCCCAAGAAAAATATATGTACCAAGAAGTTCATTTAAACACTTAATGAGTAGGTTTAGGTCAAGCCTTTAGAAAATATGAGGAAGATAACAGATTTTTTCATCAATTTTCTACCCAACTAGTTTTGGATCTCTGGATCAATTTCTAAAGCATCTAAGACTTCGGATTAATCTTACCACTACTAACACGCATGACATATATTTTTTAACCAATTGATTGATAACATCCTTACCTTAGTATGAGTGGATTTATGACATGGAAAACATTACTACAAATCAACTTTATTAATGCTTAATTAACTCTAAAATTTAATCCTTAACAAACAATAGAAATTAAGATAAGACCATAGAATATCACAATTATATTATGATGTAATATACCGCATGGAAGTGAGAGACCCTTGTGTCTGACATAGCTCCTGGTCCTCCAGGTCGGGGATTGGGCATAAGGCTAATAACCCTACCCCATAAAAAACACGATATTATGAAACCAAAAATCAGCCTCGGAAAATCTGACTGTCTTAACATGTTTATGATCCCGCCTTTGTATAATGGACCCCATATCGGATCATGGAATGTTCGGAGCTTATACAGACCAGGGGCCACCCAAACGGTAGTAAATGAAGTAAAAAGGTACACCATACCTTTAACAGCCATACAAGAGGAAAGATGGCCAGATTGTGGTGAAACCACTATCGACAGCCACACACTGTTCTACACCAAGAGAAAAGACAAAAATGGGACAGTAACACTGGATTCATAGTTAGTCTGGTCGCAAGGAAGTCAGTAATAAACTTCAACCCAGTTAATGAAAGGATAAGTGTGCTGCGCATAAGAGGTTGTTGGTTAAATATCAGAATTATTAACGTGTATGCACCAACCGAAGAAAAAGAAGACGAGGTGTAGGATGATTTCTTCAATCAGTTAGAATAAGTTGTGGACCAGGCTCCAAAATATGAAATAAGTTAGTCATGGGAGACTTCAATGCCAAGATAGGTCATCCCAAACCCAATTTAGGTTCATTAATGGAGGCCAAAGTTTCCACAAAACCAGCAGTGATAATGGAGTGAGATGTATCAGTCTGGCATCAGCTAAAGGTCTAGTAGTGAGCAGTACGATGTTCCCGCACAAGGGCATACATAAGTACACCTGAGTAAGTCCTCTCCTTTGAGCAAAAAGCCAAATCAACCACGTGCTGATAGATAAGAGGCATCAAAGCTCCATACAAAACATAAGGAGTTATCGTGGAGCAGACTGTGAATCGGACCATACTTTGATTAGAATCAATTTCTGTCAGAGGCTAGTGGAAGAAAATCTACCAAATTGGTAACCAAGTGGAAAGAAAGAGGTACGAAGTCTGCAATTTGAAAAACCTTATAGTACAGAGTGAATTCCAAATTGAGCTGATTAATAAATTCGAACCCTTGAATGCGGAAGTCCTTACGGTTGACCAAC